GACACAAATCGTCGTCCAATGGGAACTGTTCGTCTCTACGTTGACTTTGGAGATGGAAACTCAACTGATATGACAGTGAATGACAAATTTCCTCAAATGCTTGATGATGAGGGGTATCAATTCAACCATTTTTACTCAAATCAAGGTTACAAAAATGTAGCAATGAGATTCCAAGCGGAATTGACTAAACAGGAGATAAATATAACGGCTAGGATTTGGGACAATATAAACAATGTTATTCTCACCTCTGATTGGGCTGCTGAGGTTGATGAAGTTGTACCATTCAATTTTGAAAACGCCTTACGAAGTGGTTTTGAGTATAATATTACATTTGGAGATGGTACTCAGATACATAATGTTCCTAATGTTTTGTATGAAGATTATAATGAACCCACAAAATATCATAGTTTCAGTTCACCTGGGGTTTATAAAATCGTTTTTCAAGCCTCCAACCTAGAGTACCGAAGAATTATTCGATACAATATTACAATACAGTATCCTATTCCTCTACTTCAAATCAATCCTTTGCCGCCTTATATGATTCCTATACCAAACGGTGTGATATCTTTAAGGGTTGGCATGGTGTCAAACAATCCGTCGCCAACCGATGTGACATGTAACTTCAAATATGAAGATTCACATCCGGGTGTAAACGAAACAGTTCATTTTGAATATGGAACTACAATAATGAAAAAGTATGTGTATACAACAGGAGGTGTGAAAAATGTTAACATTACATGCGTCAACTATGTTACTACGAAATCATTATTTACAACAATCGATGCCGAACCTGTCACAATTTCAGATTACAAATTTGCGTATCCTGGTATAGTACCAATGAATATGACTCCGGACGCAGGTCAAATACCAGCTATAGCTGATTTTACTGTTCATCTTTTCCGATGCGTGCGATTCTCTCCCAATGTTACGTTCACTTGGAATTTCGATGACGGAACGCCAGTTGATGTTACAGATGGAAAATATCATAATCATTCATATGCCAAAAGAGGTCATTATAATATAACTGTTACGATAAAAGATAGTAATATAGATCTGATAAGAATATTACCCATAAAAATTGGAGCTGTTGATTTTTATTTACAAAAGTATATCGGAGATGTATCGAACACCGTATTTCAGTACATACTTAAATGGGTAGGAATGTATGGCACATACGATTTAGCTGTCAGCTCAAAAGAAACAATACACCATACCCAGCTTGATAGCAGTAATGTATTTGAACATAACCATACGTATGACTATTATATAAAACAATACCGACCAAATATTATTGCAAAGAACAACAATTTTACAGAAATTTTATATTATGATGATTTTGTCAAAGTTGACTTTAAATTGAATATTTTGATTATTAACGTGACAGAAAGAACAATTTTACCACCTGGAAACGTAGTTGTGAGGGTTGGTCTAGTAGACGCTAGAAATACACCTTTACCGTTCGTCATATGTCGGTATGACATGGGTGACTATATAGATTACAACATTTATGAAAAAACACAGAATATATCATTTGAAAATCCTCTGATATTTCATTATCAATATAAAGTATTAGGAAACCTCACTGCAAGAATAGATTGCCAAAATAACTACGACAAATATTCGAAAACAATTGTTGTTGAATCGTATAATGATTGTTACACTGTTAATGGAATTTTTGACAGACAATATGCGAATAAAAGTAACCCATTGAAGGTATATACATCGGTTGATTTTGACTTAGCTAGTCGTATGGCCGTATATTGCGTAAACCAGAAAGTCAACTTTGATTGGAAAATATACACCCTTGGAGAAAATAATACTAAACATCTGTTTGATTATACGCCTGTAGCGGAACCTAAAGGATCGTTCCGTTTCGCCAAGGGGTCTATTCCCGAAAATACATATGTGGTAGGGTTAAATGTTTCACTTCTTGGGAAAACCTGGATTTATGAACTCACATATATACAGTTTGTTAAACCTCCCCCGTATGCCTACATAGAAGGAGGAAATGAGAGATACGCCAAGATCAGGGGGAAAACTATCACACTAGATGCTCTGATGTCGTCATATGACGTGGGCATCGGATATGGAGGAAATAAAAACCTCGAGTTTGATTGGTCTTGCAAACTGTAAGTATAGACTGTTTAAAAATTTGACCAGCTGTAGTATAACTATTTGTATTACAAGTAAGCAGATTTTTTTGAATGAGAGAGTGAGTATGTATTAGTTTACATAAGATGATATTTCAAATATAAAAAGACCAATAATTATCTTCCTTAATTTTGAAAATTTCCATCGTAAAGTTTCATTTCCTTTCTATCTCAAAGTTGAGTTGAATAACCGACCTTATTTTTTAAGTGAAAGGACTTCGTCTGTTAAGTAAAACGTGACGTTTAAAAAAGGAGTGTCTAACTTTATTTACAGTTTTTGCAGATAGATGTTGTAACAATCTTCATAGAGTTTTAAGTTGGCAGATCTAGTTTGTGTCAACGACCTTAAAGATTTTTTCTCGTACTGAACGAGCACGAAACATTTGCCACTGGACTTTAAGCAACCAACAATCAATCAAAGCGTTAGAGATTGTCTATTAGGAAAGCGTAAACGCGCCCTCATTCTTGAGTTTTGTCCTTTGTCTGGAACCATGTTTGACATATTCTGATACTATTTCAAAATGATGAATGAACGGTCATGTTTTTCTTCTAGCTTCTAGCATTTTAGACAACACGTATTGTAGAAAATTTTAAGATTACGTTTTTGAGGGTGACTTGTTTGGTATAATATTCAAGGTGCATTTGTTATGTTTCATTCATCCTGCTGTTAATGGCGAGATCGTGTGACACTTGTTCATAGTTTTAAAAAAAATATTGTTAGAAAAAGTTATTGCAAGAAATATTGTATAAGTAAAAGTGATGATTAAAAAGCTATTCTAGTAAATAGAAAGACTGTACAAAATGACGTATTTATGACGACAAATATTGTCCTGATTAATTGTTTCAAGAAATGTGTTGTCCAAAGAGAAATTAACAACATAGCCTTTTTCTGTGTCACTTTCTTAAATGTCCGGATGCATGGAAAGTATGAGATGGATATCTGAATGTGAATAAATTAAATAGGTTATGAGCGATTTCAAACATAACTTGAACACACAATTCAGTTTAAGAAAATGTAATGAATGTTGTTTACTGTGAATCTTTTACCAAACGAATTTAGTTTAATTTATGTGTCATATATTGTTACCTATATTATTTTTTTTTAAAACAAAGATTTCTGATTTTTGAAACTGAAGTAACATATTGGAAGACAAAGGGAGTATTGATTAAAATATATCTACCGCCATAAATTAAACAGCCTTATATAGGATTATATACAATGAAAGAAAATTTATGTTTTTTGTCCATTTTTGATAACCGAACAAAATATTGCTTTTCGGGCTTAATATTTTACTAAATTGCCATGTTAGACCAAATAAGCTTTGCACAATAAGAGATGAGCTTTAATTCTAATGCCAAAACGCAAACCAAATATTGTCTTGTTAATTAGGACTTTTATTTTGGTTAAAAATGTGTTATCACAAAACATGTTTAACCGCTGCATTTGTTTGCACCTGTCCTAAGTCAGGAACCTGATGTTCAGTGGTTGTCCTTTGTTGATGTGGTTCATAAGTGTTTCTCGTTTCTCGTTTTTTATATAGATTAGACAGTTGGTTTTCCTGTTTGAATGGTTTTACACTAGTCAGTTTTGGGGACCTTTATAGCTTGCTGTTCAGTGTGAACCAAGGCTCCGTGTTGAAGGCCGTATTTTAACCTATTATGGTTTACTATTACAAATTGTGACTTGGATTGAGAGTTGTCTCATTGGCACTCATACCACATCTTCTTATATCTATTAACCCCACCGCATTTTTGCGCTTGTCCCTAGTCAGGAGTATCTGGCCTTTGTTAGTCTTGTATGTTTTTTTTTTAGTTTTTTTTATTTAATTTTGACGCATTTATATGTTTCGGAGTTTGGTGTGACGTCCATTTTCGCTGAACTAGTACACAATTTTATTTAGGGGCCAGCTGAAACCCGCCTCCGAGTGCGGAATTTTCTCGCTGTGTTGAAGACCCATTGATGGTATTGGGCGGGTTGTCTCTTTGACACATTCCCCGTTTCCATTCTCAATTTAATTTTATATATGACAATCATGACAAAAGGAGAATCATATAGATGTATGGTTTTCGTTTTATTCAATCAAATGTATGTACTTAAAGTCAAGTTTGGACAAAGATTTTATCGTTGCATCAGAACAACTTAAGAAAATATACAATCCAATGAACATTATTATATGAAAATATCACAATTTCGAACCTTTGACCTTTATAGATGCATTCTTTATATCATTTTTAGGATAAGTGCTAGAACTATAGAAGAGTTGTCAGACAACTACAAGAGGGGAACCAGTGTGAATGGTGATTGTTTAAATTTTCTTGTAAAGGAATCAGAAGGCGTTATGGTGTTGAACCTACTGAATGATGATACCCAAGGCTATGCAATAACTGTAGGAGTAACTGTTACAAATTCATTACACCAATCATCAAATAATTTCACACAGTTAATTATAGGGACATCGACAACAGCTCCTGATATATCGCTCATGTAAGTACACAGCTGGTCGTGGGGACATCGACAACAGCTCCTGATATATCGCTCATGTAAGTACACAGCTGGTTGTGGGGACATCGACAACAGCTCCGGATATATCGCTCATGTAAGTACAACGTTGGTTATATAATGATTTCAACAACAGCTCCTGTCAAATCTCTTATGTAATTACACGGTTAGTCAAGTGGACATCAACAGCAACTCCTGATATATTGCTCATGTAAGTATACAGTTGATTATGGGGATATCGACAACAGCTCCTGATATATCGCTCAAGTAAGTAAACAGCTGTTTGTGGGGACATCGACAACAGCTCCTGATATATCGCTCATGTAAGTACACAGCTGGTTGTGGGGACATCGACAACAGCTCCTGATATATCGCTCATGTAAGTATACAGCTGGTTGTAGGGACATCGACAACAGCTTCTGATATATCTCTCATGTAAGTACACAGCTGGTTGTAGGGACATCGACCAAAGCTCCTGACATATCGCTCATGTAAGTACACAGCTGGTTGTAGGGATATCGACAACAGCTCCTGATATATCGCTCATGTAAGTACACAGCTGGTCGTGGGGACATCGACAACAGCTCCTGATATATTGCTCATGTAAGTTCACAGCTGGTTGTGGGGACATCGACAACAGCTCCGAAAAAAATCACTCATTTAAGTAAAACGTTGGTTATATGGTGAATTCGACAACAGCTCCTGAAAAATCTCTTGTGTAATTACACGGTTAGTCAAGTGGACATCAACAGCTACTCCTGATATATCGCTCATGTAAGTATACAGTTGATTATGGGGACATCAACAAAAGCTTCTGACATACCGCTTATGTAATTGTACGGCTGGTGATTAGAAAATCTACAAGAACTCCTAATATATTGCTCATATAGGTAAACATAGTTATGCGGATATCGACAACAGCTTCCGGCAAATCGTTCACGTAATTACACAACTGGTTATGTGCAAGTATTATCCATATTAAAATAAGAAGATGTGGTATGATTGCCAATGAGAAAAAAGTGAAATTTTTATAAGCAATTATAGGTAACCGTACGGTCTTGAATAATGAAAAAAAAACCATACCGTATAGCTAGCTATAAAAAAAACTCCGACATGACAAAATGTGAAATAATTCAGAGAAAACCAACGGCTCAGTATTTAACAAAACAATCAACGGAAAACAAATACAGACATCGATTAAGGATAACAACTGAATAACAGGCTCTTGACATAGGACATGCATAAAAAGAATGACATTGTGAAGGGGTTGAAGATATTTGTGAGCGCTCAATCTTCCCTCTAACCTGGAGTAGTGGTATAACAGCACAAGAAAATAATCAATAGAAAATTTAAGTTCTTTAAATTACACGTTATTTCTCGAATTATCAAGCATTAGAAGAGCATTTCATTCGATTGGACCTCTGATAGCACTTACGTACATCCCATCCTCAAGATAGTTTTATTTTTTTTTATTTTGAAATGAAACAAAACTAAATAAACCCTTTTAACGTTTGTAATTCAATTGACGTTTTTGTTTTATTTAGATGCGATTTGAACTGTGATAAGAAGTATGCTACAATGTCAAAGTCCATCATGGTAGCTGTGTGTCTTGAGTGTGAAAATAATTTGACCAATCTGGAGTACCATTGGTCACTCAGTTGGTATGATACATCAATTCAACAGTATGTAACAGAAAAGGACTTTGAATCGATGACTGACACAGGTATCTTTAACTTCTTAAAATATACTGTAAAGACATATATAAAAGAGGACATGAAAAAGACTTAACACTTCACTTATTTAGTTTTCGATGCGCTAAGAGTCGAGAAAACGTTGAAAAAATATGGTGTCAAACTATATAATATGATATTAACTTTGTCATTCGCAATGGAGTAGATATTCCCAAAGGCACACTGATTTATCCCTTGTTCAATAAAGACATAGTGCAAGTCGTTTCTCCGACCTTATATGATTTGGACGTTACATTTTTGTTCAACAATATTTGTCTATATTGAAATGATTGCTTGTTGTTTTTAAACGTCCAGTGGCAAATAGTGCATGCATAACCGGGACAAAAACAAATTAAGACGTAACTTAATCGAATGCCCAATTGATTAATGGATTGATGTTTCATGTCCAGTGATAAATATTTCATGGATATTCACATATTCAGGACAATAATATGGTTATACATGTATACAAAAAGTCATATATTTAACACATGGTGTTGTTTGAACTCATTCAACATTTTTAATGAAGTTCTTTAATGTATTGTATTAGACTATTAATAAAGTTCAACTGCCATAGTACATAATCAACTGATTAGTTACATAGTAGTAATGTATAGTTTGACTTTTCTGTAATGTTCTGAGCTCTTATATGTATAACTTATACACATAAAATTGAAAATGGAAATGGGGAATATGTCAAAGAGACAACAACCCGACCAAAGAGCAGACAACAGCCGAAGGCCACCAATGGGTCTTCAATGCAGCGAGATGATCCCGCACCCGGAGGTGGTCCTCAGCTGGCCCCTAAATAAAATTGTGTATTAGTTCAGTGAGAATGGACGTCACACTAAACTCCAAAACATATATATGAACTAATATTAAAAAACATACAAGACTAACAAAGGCCAGAGGCTCCTGACTTGGGACAGGCGCAAAAATGCGGCGGGGTTAAACATGTTTTGTGAGATCTCAACCCTCCCCCTATACCTCTAGCCAATGTAGAAAAAAGAATCATATAGCAATACGCACAGTAAAACTCAGTTTAAAAGAAATCCGAGTCCGATGTCAAAATAGGTAACAAAAGAAACTAAGCAAAATGACAATGATACATAAATAAACAAAGGACTACTAGCAGTTACTGACATGCCGGCTCCAAACCTCAATTAAACTGATTGAAAGATTATGTCTTCATCATATGAAAATCAAGTACAATCCCTCCCTTTAGGGGTTTAGTATGTTGGAAATGAAATGTCTTACCCTTGTAAAATAAACTATCATCCTTTAGACTAGTAAAATACATTTTGACTACAATTGAAATTTTCAACTGAACCAATTGTAAAAGTCTGGACCATAAATTATAAACGAGTGTTCAAGTGAGTCATACTTTGTCTTTCAATCAATTTACAGATATAGCAATATGTGCATTAATTAAGCAATGGAAACCCTAACGATTGCGGTCAATTAAGACATATGCACCCTATTTTCACACTGTTCAGTAGCTGTAATTTGCTGTACACAATAAATACTCATTCATCTGAGCAATACTGGACTAACTGCAAACAGAATGTTTTTAAACGTAGCTGAATTTACCGAAAGGAAAATATTTGAAAAATAACTATGTGTCTTTACAGTACTCATATTTTTTTTTAAACTGCAGACATGTATAACGGAATGCTCTAATTGAATGTGCTTGTAAAAGACAAGTGAATTAGAAAGATTCATGTTTCAGTATATATACGATTACCTGTATGGTTATGTATGGCCCATACATCGAGTGATTTGGTAATCATGCAGAAATCAATCTAAACATACAAAACTAAAATTCCGCTTTATAAATGTGCAACTTCCTTTTCTTATATAGTTACAATGACGATATTAATCAGTGCTTATTTAGTACCTCTTTGATCATTATTGTATTGTATCATGTCTTTTTAAAAAGGTACTAACAGGAAAACTTTAGTTATCTTAGAAAATCAGGTGAAAAAGAATACCAAATATTTGTTGGTGGTAAAAGTGAACCGCATCGGAGAAAAAGAAGAAAATGGAGGAAGACTAATATTTTTCACTAACATGCCTCCCTACGGCGGATCCTGTAAAGCTTCAAATAGTTCAGGTGTGTATGAATAAGCTATATTTGATTAATGAATAAAATTGAGAATGGAAATGGGGAATGTGTCAAAGAGACAACAACCCGACCACAGAACAGACAACAGCAGAAGGCCACCAACAGGTCTTCAATGCAGCGAGAAATTCCCGCACCCGGAGGCGTCCTTCAGCTGGCCCCTAAACAAATATATATACTAGTTCAGTGATAATGAACGCCATACTAAACTCCAAATTGTACACAAGAAACTAAAATTAAATATAATACAAGACTAACAAAGGCTAGAGGCTCCTGACTTGGGAACATTAATTAATGTTTATAACTGATATTAGAACAATGTTGCTACATATTTTGTATAAACTTACAAAAAAATATAAAGTCGGGATATGTAGAAAATGGTGCTATAAATCAGTAAAAATTAAAGAGAGAAATTAATTTCAGTTTTGGATTTGAGACATTAATTAGATAAAGCAAGAAAATACTCGAAAGACAGGACAAAAAGCGATATTGGCTTGTTTTCGTAGCAAGTTAAAATAAATTTCATATTTTCCGACAATGATGTACATATTTTGTTTTAATCATGAAAGAGGTAGGGCCTATTTCCCCTGAAATTGTTTCACACCAGGACATCGAAAAAAGCAGGATAACAGGAGACAATATTTGTATATTGTACAGATTAAACAAAAACATATTCGTATACTTGTTATTTGTGAAATAGTTGGGTGATATGCTGGATACATAATAATAAATGAAACAAGTTCTCATGTAGTGTAAGGGTTTGTAAAGACTTCATTTGAAGCTTAAAAAATAAAAACATATTCGAATTCATTTGAACATGTTTTGATATTGTTTATAAATTCTTCTTTCATGAAAAGATTAAATTAGAGTTTAATCAATGTGTTTACCTTTAATTATTGGTCTTAATTTCTACATCAGGATTAGCCTGCGAACGAAGACGAACAATTTTGGGCAATGTTTGACCTTTGATCTAATTTAGTAACATTTGACCTATTGTCGGTTGAGCAGGATATTAACACAGGTTTTCGTTACAATGAGTGTCTTTGAAAGTTTGCTGTGATATATGTTATGTCTACATAAATTCCAGTCCTAAACGGTTCTTACAATATCTTAGGTATTGTATTTTTTTTTTGTAATGCTATTATCAGAGAATAAAGAAGAAGTGATTATCCACATAATTTAGCATATTATAATATATTGTTGTTTTTTTCAGCTACTGGAAGAGCTGCAGAAATTTTGAACACACCTGAAGACATGATTCCCACCGGCACAGCTTCGTCTACTTTGTTTGCTATTCTCTGTAAGGATTGGAAGGATGAAGGTTTGGAAACAGACCAAGATGAACAAAGGGACGCTGAACAAGAGAATCCTCTTCTCTATGAATATTTCTTGTATCTGAACCACACTGATTACCGTGGAAAACGTGTAACAGAAAAAATACCCATATACAGAGGAGGTAATAAGATAATTTCACTATGAGTACGCTTCAAAGTTTTTGACGCTCATTGAATTTTTATGTGTCTATATGTATGCTAGGTTTGATATGCAATTATTTATACAGTCTGTTGCGATCTCAAACAAACTTTTGAATGAGTTTCATGCATCAAGGGAAATTCTAAATGCGATAAAATTACATCTGCTTATAAATTATTTGTCAGAACTATGGTATTGTAACATTTCAAATATGATTTAAAAGCTGGAAACAATGCCTATAAAGCATGACAATTATGAAAGCGTGCGAAATGTTATTGTTTGATAAGACGACATTGACATTCTCTTGTTTACTATATATTCCAAAGGAACAATGAAACAATGATATGAAAGTTTATATGATTATATGCTTTCTTTTCGTCACGAAATTGTTTCTTTAATAGGAGAAAGTACGGCATCAGAATTACGTCTACCTGTAGGAGACCAACAGGACGATTATGTTATTCAAGTAGTTGTAACTGTATTCGACCGATTCGGAGATTATTCCAAAATGTATTTGAAAGTAACGGTGAGATGAAACTAATTAGCTGTGTTAACATTCAATATGAGAAAACAAAAGCTAGAATCATGAAATTCGAAATGATAAGACTATTCTACACTACCACTAAATGTTCTCAATATATTCCAAAAACTAGGAAAAAATATTATTCTAAACACAGTAACTTTAGTATTTACAATATCAAACAATATTAGTTTAAATTAAAGATATGTGCTACAAGTAATATCTAAGTATTGTCAAAACCCCAGAATCAGTATTGCATCTCTTTGTCAATAAATATTTTGTTTACGGGTGGTTTTTAGGGAACATGGACATTGGTATTGCCTAGATATTTTGATTCAATAACACCGAGTTATATGTGTTCTCGCATAATACATATACGTGACATCAATAACACCGAGTTATATGTGTTCTCGCATAATACATGTACGTGACATATTTGAGTTTCGTTCATTGTTGCAGTCAGGCCGTCGGTTCTCTCTTTTAAATTGTTTTTCATTTTTTTCACATCATGGTCGTATATATCTTACTACATGTAAGGGTTATACGAATTGTTAAAGGCTGTGAGGACACGTGTAATTATTCAGATCTTTGTCCTCTACAATTGATGAGATCAACCCCAGTTTTTGGTGGGGTTCGTTTTGCTCAGTCTTTAGTTTTCCATGTTGTGTTTTGTGTACTATTGTTTGTCTGTCGGTCTTTTTTTTTTTTAGCCATGGCGTTGTCAGTTTATTTTCGACTTATGAGTTTGAATGTTCCTCTGGTATCTTTCGCCTCTCTTTTGTCTCATTAGCAATCAAACCACATCTCCTTACAAATGCTTGGAAATATATTTTACAAAAATAAGAATAGAAAATACAAATAAATGTTCATTTCTTTTATAAAGTGTTTACCAAATGATGAATACACACCGACCAATGAAGGAGATACAAATAAAACAAGTAAGATGCTTAAGAATTTTGATGATAACTACGATATGACTGATGCTGGTGGCAATGATATAGCAGTGTTTCGCCTAATGAAATCTACGGCTGGGTTTTATAACAATTTGACATTTGTAAGTTTAAAATAGACATTATTTTGATCACAGTTTCTGAAGTCGAAAAAATGTCAGAAAAATAAAGATTGTTAATTGTACATTGCTCTTAACTGATTAAGAATGTTCTTCCGTTGCTATTCAAAAGATAAATTAGTTTTTCTTTCGAGTTTAAACTTTTGAATTTTACATCTTTACATGTACAATAAATGTACATGGAGTCCACACATTTTCCTTTCTGACCTCCTAAAAGAAAAATTAAGTGTATCTATTTGTCAAAAAGCATAATCTAAATGTTCATTAACATTGAGCAAAATGTAAATTGATTGATCAGTTTAGACACAAACTACTAATTCATGTTTATCGTTACTTTTATTTTATCAAAAAGGAAAACTCAACGACAAAGGCTGATACTTCATCATTGGAGAAACTTGTCTCATATGACGATGAGTTACAGGGGGAAGTTCAAAATACATTGCAACAGGTAAAATGTTGTTCCACAGTATTCTATAATCTCAATAAAATGGTAACATTTTGATTCTACTATTCTATTCAATTATTTACTAAAGATAGTTTAAGAAGATGGAATAAATAGAGGCCAGTTTCTCCGGCTCCTCAAATTCAAAAATCAAAATGTATTATAAATCTTTCAAATAACATCCTTCAACTAATGACAAGACATTGGTCTGTCTGAAATCATTTGTGTTTGTTGTTTTTCTATATATTTGGTAAAGGGCTACAAACATCTTGTATTTCAAGCAAGTCGTAGAAAAGCTAAAATGACCTCATTTTGAGATATTTTTTTGCTATTAGATATAATATAGCAAGGCTTAATTCATACAAGTCTTTTACTGTAAACATCTTTTCTTTTACCAGGAGCCATGTACATTGAACAGGATGTTTTAACATGAATAGTTGATGAATTCTGCTGATTCTAAAAATACGTTTTATTCTCAGTCGGTTGCTTTTTAGCTCTAAAACATGACAATTAGTATTAATATGTATTTAATCCATTCAAAATATGAAAAGCTTATTGGGTACGAGGAAAAACAATAGAAGGTGCAGGTATTGATCATAACCACAGGTTAATCGATTGGTAAATTGGAGTGCAATTAAAACAATATGAAAAGCATATTGGGAACATTTTGTACGAGAAATATAAAAAAAAGTGCAAGTATTCATCATGACCACAGGATAATCGAAGGCTAAATTGGAGTGTAACTAGAACAATATGAAAAACATATGGGGTGCGAGAAAAAAAAGGAAGGTACAGGTATTGGTCATAAACGCAGGCTTATCGATAGGTAAATTGGAGTGCAACTTAAAACAATATGAAAGGATATTAGGTACGAGAAATATAAAAAGGGTGCAAGTAATCATCATGACAACAGACTAATCTATTGGTAAATTGGAGTGCAACTAAAACAATATGAAAAGCATATTGGGTACGAGAAAAAAAAGAAGGTGCAGGTATTGATAAAAACCTTTTGTTTTATGATAGGTAGATTGGAATGCAACTTAAGACAATATATGAAAGCATGTTGGGTACGAAATAAAAATAAAAGAAGATACAGGTATTAATGATAACCGCCGGCTTATCGATGGGTAAATTGGAGTGCAACTAAAACAGGGAGTGGTCATTCTCAGCAACCAGTATTGCAAAAATTCGAAATATCACAACGAAATTATTTTTAATTTTAATGTTGTATATAATTTATTCTATTTTTATTTAAGCGAAGTCTAGATCTTATTACTAAAGTATCAGATAAAGTACCAGAAAATTCGTCGCTGATAATTTTGCCTGCAGATACCATATTGATTGCAAAAACCATACAATCTTGTATATCTAACATAGATGTCATGACAGAAAACTCATCAGTAAGTGCTCTTCTCTTTGGTGTGTTTTTTGTGTGCTGATGACAATTATTATTCCTATTTCTAACATTTTAAGAAGTTTAAACACTTAACCCAAGCATTTTATTACACATGTGTAAATTTGTTTGAATTTGCATGCTTGTATTCAAAAATAATATTTTTTTCTAAAGAGGTGACCGACAGCAACATATTTGGTTCACTTAATTAGGATACAATGCAGCAATTATTGAAAGAGGAGATGGTAGTTAAATGTGTAATGGGAGGGGTCTAATCTTATTTTTTATCTGATTTTAAAACAATATGAAACTAGCCTGTGTTGCTCACATAGGTCTACGTGCATCTTTAACAATGGACACGCTACAAATTGTGGACTAGAATAGAATTCATGAAAAGAAGATCTTTTTTGTTGATCTTGAATTGCTGATATTTTTTTTCTGTTTACAGTTTCTCTCTATTTTCTGAGTTTTTGCACAACAAATAAGGTCAATCACTGCAATAAGGAGTGACGATTTCCGCTATGGTTGACCATTTTGTAGAACATGTTTAATCCCGCCACATTCTGTATGTATGTGCCTGTCCCAAGTCAGGAGCCTGTAATTCAGTGGTTGTCGTTTGTTGATGTGTTACATATTTGTTTTTCGTTCATTTTTTTTTGTACATAAATTAGGCCGTTAGTTTTCTCGTTTGAATTGTTTTACATTTGTCATTTCGGGGCCTTTTATAGCTGACTATGCGGTATGGGCTTTGCTCATTGTTGAAGGCCGTATGGTGACCTATAGTTGTTAATTTCTGTGTCATTTGGTCTCTTGTGAAGAGTTATCTCATTGGCAATCATACCACATCTTCTTTTTTATATTGCTAATCACTTTGCTATTCAAAGTGTCTATCTGTCTATAAAAATTTTCAAGATAAGAGGCAGTATACAAAAAATGGGTTAAATCGTCGTTAAAGAGAAATAACTCCAACAAGGAGTGAACTGACTATTTCGACCAGTAAACTTATTTGTAGATCTTGTCTTACTGGTCATTTTGGCTTATTGAAGTTTCTATCTGTCTTTCATAGTTTTTCAGATATTAGGCATTTAAACTCCAATATGGGGTCGTCAGACGATTTCAACAATGAAACTTATATGTAGATCTTGTCTTGTTGATCAGTTTTGCTTCAGATCTATCTCTCTATTATACTTTTTTCATATATTAGACAAAAAAAGCAAAAACAAAAATTTTTAAATCTTGACAATACCACTAATAAGAAGTCGTCTGACGATTTCGTAATTTTGACAAATTTGTAGATCTTATCTTGCTGATAATTTTTTCCATTTGAATTATCTCTATATCTCTGAAAATTTTCATGAAAATAGGCAAAAATGAAAATAAACTCCTAGTTTTGATGTAAAGTGACAATAGGTAGATCTCAACATTCTGAACATTTTTGCCCCTGTAAGATTTTTTCTATTTATAGCGGTTTTCAAATCGATAGCATTTTACCCCTATGTTCTATTTTTGGCTTTTTGGCCATGTCAGCCATGTTGGTTGGCAGGCGGGGTTATCGGACACATTTTTTTAAATTAGATACCCTAAGATTGTGGTCAAGTGTGGTTAAATTTGGCCCAGTAGTTTCAGATTAGAAGATTTTTGTAACAGTTAACGGCAGACGATGGACGCCAAGTGATGATAAAAGCTCACCAGGCCTTATGGGCCAGATGAGATAAAAAAAAGAGATTTCTAAACCAAGGAAAACCCATCAAATCATCTGTAACTTTGTCAAACGTATGTAAAAAGATTACAAATTTTATAATAGAAATGCAAATAATGTTATCACTTAAACCAACGTTCATTTTCAATTTGTTAATCAAAGTCAAGCTATGACTATCTGTACTGATGGTATCATTTATTTCCAGTTCAGATAAGATCAATGCATTCAACGTTGTCATCAAAAGTTGAATTATTTAGTGAAAGTATATTATCTACAATATGAATTTCAGAACCATAAATTGATTTATAGTCCCGATGGTTTCATCAAATCATAAACCTGTTCCTTTTTTAACATTCATAAATTATCCATTGAATGATTAAGAAATGATAAAGAAACTAAGGTTCCAACTCACTCTGGCAAAGTTTATATTAGGTTCTTTTATTATCCGTTTTGGTCATATAGCTTATCATAGTGTTCATGTATTTATACATCCTTGGCTCTTAAATGTTAGGGTTTGAGCATTTTTGCGAAGGTTAATTAAAAAATGAGCATCAAATTTATAAAGTGTTATTTGCATTTTATGAATGTATTTCTTAAAAAAAAAACAAAGTTGGACTCATTACGGGAATATGTCTTTAAGTTAAAGGTTACTTGTTTAAGGCTGTAGAAGTCAAGTAATTGTATATCGTTGCAGGAGGACGGAGACTTAGATTGAATGTTTACTCTTACTCACCTCTTCCCCCTTTTGTTTGTTGGTTTTCGCATGCTGCAGTAACTCTAAAGCAATGTGTAGTTTTGCTGATAGAATATGTGCTGGTAATTTGGAAAGAACTTTTGTTGATCATTGTTTCATTTTAAATGTTGAATCGCCAAACATTTGAATAAAAATACAAATGAGACAATTATGGCCTCAAACACAAAACGAGATTCTTCAATAGTATGTCATATTGTTTGAAAAGTATGTTTAATGAACATTTTCTATCTAGGCAGAAGTTTCTACAGTTGCATATAATTTGATACAAAATATACAGAAAGTGTCTAACAAAATTCCACTACCGATGACAGAGAGAGAAAACATCCAGGAAGCAACAGCGGGTAATTATGAGGCGTTTGAATTGTAATTGTTGAATAAAAAATTTTACTCTATAACTGCAGTCCTCCATCTGTGACATATATATTTGGTATGCAATTTTAATAGCATTGACACATTTCATTTCTATTGAGATTGTTGTGCCCTGTCCCTTTCCTATTGTGAACTTTAATAGTAATATATTTTCTGTCTATCAGTACAAACGATAAATGAACGAGCATGTCCTCATTAATGCAATTTCAGTAAGAGTGGTAATCTTGTAAATATAGCATACAGTGATAGAACTGTATTTTTCTTTAGATGTTCTTGGGATATTATCTGAAAATGTTGAATTCCTGTCGACTGCTAGCCAAGAAAATTTGAATAAGACCCTGACGAAAGAGTTAGTTGAAGAGGAATTAATAGAATACTACAGATATCATCCTGAGGGAATAGAAGGTTTCCCTACAATTACAGATGTACTGATTAATTTAATGCATGAAAAGAAGAGAAAAATACGCGAAAGACAAACAAATATGGCTAATAGTGTAAGTTAACATATTTTGGGTAACAATTGCATTGAATCAAAGTAAATGGCTTCGTCTTTTTCTTGATTTTTTATCCATGTATGGTAAATTGGTACCACATACTGCAACTATCAAAAGTTGCAATTTGATGGTGAATTTAAATTTTCTGAAATGGATGAAAGTATTATAAATCCACTATTTGTATGTCGTAGTATGTCTTAAACATACACATATTAAAATTTGAATTGCATTTAAAAAATATTATTTGAATTGCATTTAAAAAATATTATTTGAATTGCATTTAAAAAATATTATTTGAATTGCATTTAAAACATCTGTTTCTGACATGAACATATTTGCGCATTGTGGCACCATCGAACACAACAAAAAAGTTTACGCTTTACTATGATTCATTGACAAATCAAATAAACTATGCCATAGATATAAAGATTTAGTTTGGAAGTTTGGTTGTACCTGTAGAAAACTTATTTTTAACGGGATAGCACATCTTATTTTTTACGGAGATGTTGTTTACCGAGCCCGGAAATTTAGATACGATCCGGATAAACTCGATCCTTTGAAATAAACTTATTCTAAAAGGTTACCAATTCAACACTATAATTAGATCTTTGAATATTGTTTTTATTGGTATTAATATTGATTTTGTTTTCAGTAAATTAAAATCAGAATCAAACTAATTATTATTTTTATATATGTATGCACATTCATGGCTCTACAATCTGTCGATACCTGTATCTTGGCATTACACAAGGTCATGTTTTTCTCTGACTGTTAGTGACGTCTTCTACTAAAACCATTGGATGTTGGATGTGTTCTGATTGATATTCTAGTCTTATTTTTTTATTAGTTGTTATTGGCTTTGAACTACCTGTCATTAACTGCGAGTACTCTCAGGTCTGTACTTAGAGTCTTTTTGTTGTGGGGATGTATAAGTACCCTGCCATGTCCATTCTTCGTTTTTGTTAGATGTATTTCTGTTTTGTATCGATCTGATGAGTTAAGCCTTTTCAACTGATTTTTGTAGTTTGTTCTTATTTTGTACTGTTACACCACTGTCCCAGGTTAGGGGGAGTGTTGGCGCACCTTCAAAATAGTTTAATCCCGCCACATTCTGTATGTGCCTGTCCCAAGTCAGGGGCCTGTAATTCAGTGGTTGTCGTTTGTTGCTGTATATCATATTTGTTTTTCGTTCATTATTATGTACATAAATAAAGCCGTTAGTTTTCTCGTTTGAATTGTTTTACAATTGTCATTTCGGGGCCTTTTATAGCTGACTATACGGTATGGGTTTTACTCATTGTTGAAGGCCGTACGATGACCTATAGTTGTTAATTTCTGTGTCATTTGGTTTCTTGTGGAGAGTTGTCTCCTTGGCAATCATACGGTTACCACATCTTCTTATTTTTATATTGATTGAAGACGTTATCGAATTGTACGTTTAACACTTAAACGACTGTAGAAGGTTAAATAAAAAAATCCAGACTGGATAATAACGTATTTTAGAACAAGGGATTATTATCTTTATCTTCGAAACAACCTTATGACTTTAACCGAGCGTTGAATTCGTGGCCCAAGTTTTTGCATTTAATAATAAAGGGATCTCAATTTAACCTATACATGTAGATGTAATGTTGTTATTCAGTATCGATTATAATACTTTCGAATTTTGTGATTCGCTTCCGCTTGCCATTTTATTTATTAGATAACGGAATACAATAATAATAAACAGATAAAATCACAAAAACTAACGGATTTTTTCGTTTTAAAATTATTATACGGAACTACAAAAATATGATAATTGCAAAGGCTATTTTGGACTTCGAATGATGGGTATAGCGAGGTTTATCAATCTCATGTAAAGAAAATAAACTATTGCTTGGTTTTTCTAATGATTAAATTTTTTTTACTTTATCTAATGACGATATTTTTTTACTAATGCAGAGCATATTAATTGGTACAGTTATTGAAAAACAAATTATGATTTATCAAGGGAGATAACCGAGATAATTTATTTCTATGAGAGGTAGTTATTGGATTTATATAATGTGTTATTCTAGCTAGGAAACGAGAACGGGATCCAATTTTATTTATTTTTATTTTTCAAATAAGCTTATAATAGAAATTTCAGAGCGCACCACTCATATTACTAGAATTGCGTTCGTCGCGTTTCTTCTCATATTTTATTTCACGACTGTATATCATCTAGTTTTCTGTATGTTTCACGTCACATTATTATGATTTCCTTGTACAATTCTGACAAAATAGGATAATTTGCACAATTTAGCTTACGAAAAAAAGTTGGTCGGCTTTATTCTTGTGTTTCTCCTATCAATAAACGTTAGAACTTAAAGATATGTAAAACCCCGTTAAAAGGGGAGTTTCAAATAAACGATTTTCCCTTTCCTGAATAGCAACATACATGCATCGTTGTATGGCGCATATCACAGATGATTTTTAAAACATTAATTAACATGAGTCAACTACAAAAAAAAACTTTGAAGAAAACATAATCGCTTTAAGTACACAGTTTATTAGTTATCTTTATTTTCAGTCAAATCTATAATCATTACTTCAAAGTTTTACAAATTGGCGGATCATTATGTGAATATACACGTGCAATAGTTGATCTTGGACATATTTCTTTAAGGGATTCATGTTCCTTGATTAATTTTTTCCTTAACACATTTGACTTATTCCCGATCGAAGCGAAACTGTTGTCGTATATGAGGGGTTTTTTTTCGTCATGATAGTTGTCTAATTGCTATAAATTTTCTCAAGTTCAATATACTACATTAAACTGTATTATGTGTTGTTTTTGTTGTGTATGCGTCATTTGTATGTCACCAAATCAACGAAGACAGCGGCTTTTGAAACTTGTTTGAAATTACGCAGGTGTTAAAAATGATGCACTTTGTTTAACTCTTCTATCAAAGTTTTTTTTCATTTCTGATGTCCGTGGTGAGAATTTTTAAGTGTTGATTGATCTATGTTGCTCCGATAATTAACTGAACTTGTTATATCTCTGAAAGTTTAACGAATGTCACTAGACTGATTGTTGAAACAACAATAGGAGTAGATGATTGTAGAATAAAATTCGATTCTGATATGTTCTTTTCCCTATCTTTCAAGTTTTCTTTACTTTATTAGATATTTAGATATTTCCGAATTAGCAAGGAATTTTTTTTCATGTATTTCAGAACAAAGATAACATCCCAATTTTTGCATACAATTTTTCTCTTGTATATTTCGCAATTATTAATCTCGTATCATTGTATTTTGTCGAAAATTCAACATAGTATGAAATTGTTTCTTTTGGAATTTATAGTTGGAATGTAAAGGTAACGATATAATTTCTCCTGACTATGCCAGATGGTTTTTAACGTTTTAATAATATCAAAGCATATTTACATATTTCCTTGATAGAAAACATTTATTGCATAAATAAAATATTTTTGCAGACAAGCGTCACAGTGGATAAGCTTATTGGAACACTCGATTCAGCTATCAACATTACATCTTCAACAATAGCTTTTGGGGAAGGGGAGAAAGTTGTGCAACAAAATAACTTAAACGTCAGTATTGAAAAAGATTCCACAGAAATGTTCCTAAATCGGTCTGAAATTAAACGGGACGGATTTTCATTGGATTTACAGAATGACACTCTTGAAAATATCACCGCAACAGAACTGGAACTCCAGGTTAGTGAATTAAAGCAACATTTTAATTTTGAATATATTTTAGATATAAAAAAGTTTTCGATGAACAGGTTACTTATATTTTCAGTCAGGCTCAAGCTCGATATTTTATGCCAAGCCAACTAAAAGAAGCCGGAGTCTCTAGATAGAACCACCAACCTAGGATATCTTTGTTGAAAAAGACCGGAGTTGAACACATCTTCAATGAGAGGAGTTCAAACTCACAATCTCACTGTCGACAGGTTAGCGACCACTGTAGATTAAGTATATGTAAGAGAATGATAATCCCTTTCTTCATGAATAAGTACGAGCGTTAGCGAGTACTTATCATGAAGTAAGGGATTATCATTCTCTTACAAACTTAGAATATTGTAAAGTGCTCAAGGCTCAAATGATCTATTCAAGAATTAGTTTCATTGTCAGTGCAATGTTTATAATTGATGCATGACTTCCTTTTTCGGCATGTCATTTATGGATAAGTTTAAGTGATGTGAGGACTTTCTTATCATTTGGGAAATATTAAAAAAAAATGCGTTATAGGTATTAGGTGACACAACAGTAGAAAGAAAAGGTATGAATTGTATGTTTCCTGATTGTGAGTATGAATGCAAATCATGTAATATTTTAGTGAGGAATTATCCTGTTTTATTTACAGTTTAAATCAATTAATACATTAGAGTTACAACTAAATTTTATTTCACAGCCAATAATTTGGTCCGGCTTTTTACATCAAATACTGTTTCAATATTTCAGGGAAATGCTAAAAAATAATGCCCTTAAAAGTTTTTAATATGTTTAAAATTTAATTCCTGTTTTTTATCGGAATAATTGTATTGGAAATAACTATTCTCCCCAACCGCTTATCAAGTAATCAAAGTTTTGGAAAGCTAAAGATTTAGGTTATTTTTTATCTGAAAGATTTTTTTTCTTTTTTTTTGCATTGCTTTGGTAATGTTTAATTTTATAGTAATTTGAAGTTATTAATATTTTCATAAATAAAATTCACGGTACCAATTTTACTGCACCAGTAAACTTCAACTTATTTTGAGATTTTTGTTTGTTTCACAATTCAACTTTTAGTCAGTTTCAATCACTGTGTGATAAAACCTTTCAATCTGATAAATGTGCTTCGGGGCAGTTGTAACTCATTTATAGAAACTCTTTGTTTTGAACTGTAAATAGACCCAAATAATAGGATAATCCCTTACTAAGAACATGATTTACATTCATTCTTCACAATTAAGAGGCATCCAATTCTACAATTTCATTGGTCGAGAGTACTTTGCTATATTCTAAGTTTTTTAACTACTCTACCACCGAGCCATTGCCCTCCGGATATATTAGGAAGAATTAATTAAATTTGTTCTTAACGTTTTATCCAGCTGATCAATATAAATTTGTATGGTTTAAGTACCCGCCAAACTCGTTTAGTCCATCCGCTTGGTTTCTTGCCTAGCCAGTAAGTTTTTTATGCCCCACCTACGATAGCAGAGGGGCATTATGTTTTTCGGTCTGTGCGTCCGTTCGTTCGTCCGTCCGTTCGTCCGTCTGTCCCGCTTCAGGTGAAAGTTTTTGGTCAAGGTAGTTTTTGATGAAGTTGAAGTCCAATCAACTTGAAACTTAGTACACATGTTCCCTATGATATGATCTTTCTAATTTTAATACCAAATTAGAGTTTTAACCCCAATTTCACGGTCCACTGAACATAGAAAATGATAGTGCGAGTGGGGCATCCATGTACTATTAACACATTCTTGTTTTTTTGATAATTTAACGTGTGTGTGTGTGTGTGTATCTATTAAGTGATACGGTGCAGCTTGATATATGCTAAGGATATGTGCTTTTCATCAAAAACCGTGAATAAGCATTTTCTGCTTGCCTAGAACACACTGTGTATATGGCCTATTGCCATCATTTATCGTCGCTTTTCCGTGGTCGACAAAAAAGTTTTTGTTCTTAAACCACTTCAAAATGCAAGCATTGTCTAATTTTTTTAGAACTGTTTTCGATAGAGAGCAGGAGTAAAATGTTCAGATGTCATGATCTACCTGGTGTATTTTTTGACAAAAAATTCAGAGGACTCCTTATGAGAGTTATTGTCCTTAATCGACCGTTTTTACCACTGTTTTGTGAGTTTGGCTCTATATTGAAAGCTATAAAAGAGAGAGAAATTTTGAACGGCATATAAGGTCTAAAAATTAGTCAAATGGCGGCCGACATTTTCCGTTGACTCGTAATGGGAGTAATATTAATTACTCTTAAAATACAAAATAAGTTGGTATGGTATGCTTGCCAATGCGACAACTATCTACCCGAGACAAAATGACGCAGATGTTAGCAACTATAGGACAACGTTCGGCCTATAACAATAAGCAAAACCCATACGGCATATCCTAAAACTTGACAAAATGTAAAGCGAGAAAACCAAAGGCCTAATAAAAAGTTATATACAAAACAAGAAACGAAAAATAAATATAATATACAACAACAAGCATCAACCACTAAATAACAGGCTCCTGAATTTGGACATGCACATAAACAACATGGCGGAGTTAAACATGATTTGCCGGCGACAACCCTCCCTGTAACCTTTGACAGTGGTGTAACAGCACAAACAAACTACAAAAATCAGCAGAAAAGGGCTTAACTCATTAAATCGAAACAAAGCACAAAAACATCTGACAAAAAGACTCAAGACCAAAGTACCGATCTAAGAAAACTCGCAGTTACTGAAAGCTATTTCAAAGCTAATCACAACTAATATAAAATCAGGTATTGAAAACAAAAATATTAATCGGTACACATCCAATTTAATTTAGTGTAAAGACGTCACAAACATGTTTAACCTCGCCACATTCTGTATGTGCCTGTCAGTGGTTGTCGTTGGTTCATGTCGGTCATATTTGTTCTTCGTAAACTGTTTTGTTATAAGTTTGGCCGTTAGTTTTCTCAATTGAATTGTTTCATATTTTTTTATGTCGATAGCCAACTATACAGTATGTTTTTTTTTCTCATTGTTGAAGGCCGTACGGTTTCCTATAATTGCTTACATCCACTTCATTTGAACTTTGGTGGATAGTTGTCTCATTGGCAATCATACCTCAAATCCTTATTTTTAAATAGACAATTTTTCCAATTATTGCGTTTTAGTGGAACCTAAAAGTAGATCACTGTATAAAAAAGAATAAAAAATATATATATAACGATGCCGAAATCATCAATCGAATCCTTATAGCATTTTTTGCGATTGAATGACGTTTTTTACCCATTTTTGAGTTTCAGGTGGTAACAATATCAGTAGAGGGAAACTGTAAACATAAACAAAATCATATACAAGACAAGATCTACACATGTTCAAATAAGTCTACATGGCATAAATCGTCAGTCGACCATTTATAGAAGTTTTTGCCCTTAGAGATGATTTTCTACCAATCTTTGAGGTTTAGGAGGAAATTTCAGTATATAGAGGGAATTGTGAATTGTGATCAGCCAAAATTGAATCTAGAACATAAAGAGGCTACAAATAAGTCAACTTAACTAAAACTGTTATTCCGGTCTTTATACGAGTCATTGCCTTTGAAAAAACGATTTTTACTTAGTGGGGGGAGGGGGTGTGGCTTGCGAAAAAAATATTGTTCATTAATTAAAAACTGTAAATAGCAAAAATGATCAGCACAAATGGATCTACAGTTAAGTCAAAAGGCCGAAATTACAGTTCTTTTTGCACTTGAATGACGATTTCTACTCATTTTGCATGGACACAATAACACAAAGGGAGAAACTGTATATTCAAAAAATGATCAGTGAAATAAGATATTTAAATAAGTCATGATTGAAATTGTCATGCGACTCATTTGAGGAGTTTTTGTTAATGTTGATCTTTTTTCTCTTGCGTTTTTTTTTGGCGAAATTTAAAGAAGAAAGGGAGAAACTTCGGCAAAGGTGACCTGCAAGACAAGATAAACAATTAAGTCATCAGAGCCAAAATCCTCAGTCGCATCATATGAGTAATCATGACACATTTTACAAATGTGTGTTATGGCTAAAAACATGAAGATATAAAAGATAGAGAGAAAATTTAAACTGCAAAAATGATCAAAAAGACAAGATCTTCAAATAAGTCGAACACGTCTTAAATCATCAACCTCATCCCTATAGGAGTTATTTTCCTTCAAAGAAGATTCTGATTATTTCTTGTGTTTTGGGTGAAAAATATAGAAGATAAAGAGTAACTTTTGCCTTTTTTGTCTTTTACAGTAAAACTATAATGAATAGACAAAACATAAGTTCAACAAAAAACTATAAGAAAGACGCAGTGTCCTCATAAAATAGATATTCTGGTTGAATTGTATCAATCGTGTGTTATAATGCCTAGTGTACTACACATTCTCCTTGGAGCTTCTAGTTGTCAAATTTATCAGTTTTTGGTGTTATATTGAAAACTATATAAAAGTTAGAGGAAAACTTGAAACGGCGAAAATCATCTGTCGTCTCCTTATTGGAATGATTGCCTCACCCGAATAATTTTTATTTTGGTTGGTGTCCTCTGAATTATAGAGCCAGTCAGCTGAGTAATCAATGAAGTTTTAAACTGTATCAATACATGATTTAGAAACTGCTTACCTTCCTAATTCGCATGAGTTCACACCGATGTTCGGAATCTTTGATTTTTCTTTGAAGTATTTTTGAACTGTTGAATTTTTGTTTGCTTTTGTTTTTGGCAGTTTCGACTTATGCTTTTTAATTTCTCCATTGATGTTTTCTTATATTTTAATATCTTTTTTGTTTATAATCTATAGGTTAGCGTTTTCAAGAAATCACCGCTTTTGCATGCTGGTGGACATTCTCAAATCAGAGAGAGAATTATCGGAATATCTGTGCGAGATGGCAAGCGGGAAAATGTTGACATTCCATTAACCATGAGAATTCAGAACGAGGGCATAGCGTTCGCAACTGAACACAGTGCTTCTGTAGGAGATAATATGGAATTCGTTAGTCCCCTTCAAGATAAAAATGATGCTGTTCTCATTTATTTAAAACCTGAAGGTTTCGATGATACCAATATTGACGATTACAATTTCACGGTGTTGATAAAATCAAAAATATCTCCTTCCCTCAACGATTACGATTTTTCCGAAAAGATTTCTACAAGAAGTTGGACAGTTTTTGGTTTCAAGGTTTTCGTTCCTAGTATGACACTGGAAGAAGGAAATATTGTTATAGCCATAAATGCTATCGAGGGTAAGAAATCGTAGTTTTTTTCAAACATTATTGTCGTTTTTCTTTTAAAAAAAATACATTTCACGAAAGGAATTTATTTTATCTGTATTACTAGTATTCGGTGATGTCTAAGTACACTTGCAATCAGAAATAAAACTTCATTGGTTCGTTCATTATGACATCGGTGATATGTCCGAGTCAAAGTTATATGGGCCGGGTTAACGCATTGCACGTCACAAATATATGTGTCTGTATGAAATATTTCTGATCAATGGGGAGCTGTGAATCATTCATGATGAAGTTAACTATTATAAACCAAATGATATTGGTCAAAACTTACTTTGCTAGTCTTATTAAGATCTGAAGACAAAAATAGCATAAATATATAGTATTAACTCAATGTCAAAAAAGTATTAATCTAATTTTGTTTTTGTATTGCAGCTAAAAGGGCTTCAATAATAGCCATCATAATGGTAACACCAAAAAAAAATTTGTTTCGCTCTTAAATATCCCCTAATTGTTAGGAAAAGTGATTTAACATAAACGTGTACATAATATAATCGTTTCTTTATTTAGGAAATAAAGAGAACTGTACGTGTAGCTGCATTATAAGCACTTATAAATTACTCGATACGGTTGAGAGTGTCTCACATCTTTCTTTCCTTTCCAAATAATCTCATACAATAGATATAATAAGCAACTTGAATATATTATCAAATATGAATCTCCCTACACTGACAAGTATTACTTATCAAGAAATAAACAATCTGACTCCTTCATTTTGAGTCAAAGATACATTTTTATTGGGTAACTTCCATTGAACAAAATAATTAATTTCAAATATTTTGTGTTTTTATGCACTTTAAAAAAAAATATTTTCATTTTACATTTCTAAACAGGAACTACAGAAGAAAATACAATAATAACCAATCGGAAACGTAGAAGTATTGATGACGTTGAGATTAGCACAAACGAAACTTTGTTAACAAATATGAGCATTGCCATAGTAACTACTGGTTGTAGATCGTTTAATCCCCAATCACAATCTTGGAATCCGAATGGCTGTTCGGTATGTATGAAGTTTTCATTAGAAAACGTTGATAAAACATTTGACTTATTGTAAAATATAGGATTTACACTATTGGTCACAAAGATCCCAGCCTTTGTTCCTTTTTCATATACATATGGTGTTGCGTGTAATGTAAAGGAATGAATATTTGAAGTTTTCTTCTTTGATACAAAAGGTAAATGATGATGTGGAAAGGTTAAAAGGTTATCGAATGAATAAACAAAATGCCAGCAATCTAGAAGACAATGCATTACAAAGGCGATAGAAACTATAACAAACATACACTACTATACAAGGATAAATGCACATGAAGATAGATTGGTTAATTAGTGTTTTAACGCCACTTTCAACACTATTGTGCTATTTCGTGGCTGTCAGTTTTTATTGGTTGAGGAAGCCGGAGTGCCAGAAGAGAACCACCGACCTTCGGTAGGAAAACTGACAATCCTAGTCAATTAAGATTGGAGTCGAATGCAACTGCCTTGTGCGGGATTCGAACTCACAACCTCAGTGTTGACTGGCTAGTGATACAGTAGTTGGACTACTTAGACCAATCGGCCACCGAGGCCCCATATGAAGATAGAAGACAATAACGAAAACAATTTAACAAAATTAATATACACTCCGCAAATGTTAACTTATATAGAGTTACAAACGTTGAAAGTAAGAAAAACTACGTTGGTATTTTATGAAAAGATTCAACACAAAACAAGCAAAACGCAAAGGCCCGATTTTGTAGAATTCATTGATATTTAATTATCTTAATTTTTTTAGGTTCTGCCATTTTCATCTCTAAACGAAACTGTATGTAGATGTCCTCCAGCAGCAGGAAAATTTTTTGCCACTAGCTTTTTGACTCCAAACCTTATTGACTTTACTAATGTGTTTGCTCAGTTTGATGCTTCAAATGCTGCTGTCTATGGAACCATGATAGGCTTATTTTTAATATATGTGGGTTTATTTATATACTTCAGACGAAAGGATAAAGCCGATGTTTTTAAAGTAAGTAAAATGTGAAATTAAAAGAAAAAAATCATTATCCTTTTAAGTAGTACACTGTTTCGAAATTTATACGACTTTTTTTTATTGAAGAAAAAATAATCTTACAAATAAATACAAGGAAATTTTAAATTATGTCATTGAGACTACAACCCTTGACTAAAGAATCCACAATACATATCAATGACGAGCAATTGCACGCACGTATGGAAAGCAAATACCGAAAATGTTAGTACCAAGGTCAAAGGTCACAGATGACAATAACTTTTGAGCTTGAATCTTTTGTCTCGAAAACCGTTATAGATAGAGAAAGACAATAATGCAAAAAAATCGCATGGCAATATCTACATTTCACTCATATGGTATAAAATTTTCTGATGACTCATTAGTTATTGCCCTTCAATACCTCTTTCGTTTTTTTTTTTTCTTTTGTTTTTTTTTCTTTTTGTAGTTTTGGGGTAATATTTCGCAAATTGTAACAGAGAAATACAGAATATAAAATTCACCACTACACAATTTTAAAGTGAGACTCTGTTCAAAAGCTATTTGAAATTGTCATTTTGCTATCTTGCTATGCTTGCATCATTAACAGACATATTGCGGTAAACTTTTACCGTACATGATGCGCATCTGACCGAAGGTTGAAATTCACGAAAAGTCTTCTTGAACATTTGAGATGCTATGAGAGATTTTTTTGTTTAAAGTTCAAAGGTTTTCATAACATGATCAGAATATTTGAGCAAAAAATAATAAAAAAAAAAACCCAAATACAATAATATCTTTGCACATAGCCACTCTGATATCGTCAGTTTTTTTATATTATGGTTTGTGAAATATGTTGATTTTCAAAATACAAATACAGGACGTTACCATTATAATATTCTGTAAGACCTCGTTTCCTTCTTAATGATACGATAGTCCCCAAATCAATGAATAGCACGCACATATAAGACTTTAACAATTTTGACTTTAGCTAAATTCCGATGTTTATACTTATATAAGCAACACGGCGGGTGGCACACGTGGAGCAGAATTTGCTTACCGTTCAGGAGCACCTGAAATCACCCACGGTTTTTGTGGTGTTCGTGTTGCTCAATCTTTAGTTTTCTATTGTGTATTTGTGTACTGTTGTTTGTCATTTCGTCGTTTTTCGTTTTTTAATTTTTTCCCATGGCATTGTCAGCTTGTATTCGACTTATGAGTTTGAATATTCCTATGGTATCTTTCGACTCTCTTTTACATTATGTAGGATTTTCAGAAAACAAACACAATAATGAACTTATAATACTTTGAAAGAATGAACCAAAAGAAAAAAAATAATTTGATAGCTTTTAAACAATTGACACCACACATGCCAGAGATATAGGGGTTGGTCTGTCATCCTTCATTTGATAACAAAAAACTGACCTCTGTATAGCTATTGACGAACAGAACATTATTTAAGAGATTATACATAATACTTATGAATGTACTGAAATTCAATTGTAGTGGGTGCCATATATCATGTGTGATAACAAAGGCTGTGATGAATATTTTTACATGGTAACAATTCATACTGGTCTTCGTCCGGTATCCGGCACCAAGTCAAATGTTTGTTTTATAGTAGCTGGGGAAAATCAAGACACCGGAGTTCGAATGCTGTCTGATGGAAACTTGAAGGCAAGGTTTAATGCTATGAAGTGTTACTGTTTTATTATTTAATAACATAGGAATATCATAAATGTAATAACAGTTGTTATAAAATCGCTAACAGGTGTTTGTCTTAAAATGAAGATAGGCATCTGTTTTTAACATACGTACATTACAAAATAGAAATAAACCTGTTCATCAAACTTAAAAGAAATTATCTAATAATTTTATTCAGAATTGTTGGTCTCTAGTAGACAGAAAATCAACAGTGTGTTGCTTCACATATAGGTGTTTCCATTCACAGGGTTTCCCTAAGGGAAGTGTATGTTCCTATATCATGAGTACAAACCAGTTCCTTGGAGATCTTTGTTATCTAAGGATTTGGCATGATAATACGGGCGAAGGCAATGACTCTAGTTGGTACCTGCATAAAATTGTCATTCACGACCTACAAAAAGAAAACAGGTATTCTGCTGTATAGCATTTATAACTCATCGAATTTGTAATAAATATTTCGTCAAATGTTAATAATATGAGAAATTCATGTATTCTTGAAGTTTTATGTTATAATGATGCCTATTAACATCTTCGTACTTAACAGATAATGCTTGCTTAATTGAATGTCTTAAGGATGTAGTTGGGTGAAATTTAAAAAAATATCTAGAATTTCAAATTGACACTACAAGCCAAAAGAGCATTATTTAAGGAACAAAATAAGCTAAAAATATTTATAGGTTATGGAACTCCTTTTTGAGATATTCGAATTTTTAAAAATGACGGGAAAAGGCTGACTCGGACTTTTACCTTATATTTAGCATTGGCATTATTTGGGTCTCAAATCGTTAAAAAAAAATCTAGAATCAGCTTAAATTTTGGAAATGACCTTTTTATGAGCCATTGAAGTCTTCTATGAAAAGGAACATGGGTGATATGGGGAAAGATATTTTACCCTGTATCGTAGCAAAAAACCCAAGGAGTCCGAACATCTAACAAAAAAATCCTAAACCTGACCTGACTACATCTTTAATATTTCTTTAAATAGAAAAGATTTTTTTTGATAACTGAATGTAGTAATAATAAAAATGAATTCAAATACAATGTAATCTTATAATATTAGAAATGATGGTTCAACAAAACTTAATAACACCATGATATATTTGTTTCTAGTTTCATCTTTCTATGTGATGATTGGTTGGCCCTTGATATCGGAGATGGTATGATAGACCGTGTAATACCGTCGTTGTCAAAGAACAACTTGGAATTTGAAACGTTATTATCACAACACGCAAGAATGAATATGACAGAGAATCATCTATGGTTATCTGTAATTCTACGCCAGCAGAGGAGTAACTTTACACGTGTACATCGATTGTCCTGCATTCTGGCGTTACTGTTTCTGGCAATGATAAGCAATGCTATGTTTTTCCAGCCGGAGGACGAGAAACAGATAATTGCTGATTCCGTGCAAATTGGCACATTCCGTTTGTCTCTAAGAACTCTGTATGTTTCTATTGTTGGTGCCGTTGTAACGATCATTCCTATTTTCATCGTCACATATTTGTTTAGAAATGCAAGATCAAAAACATCATTGCAATCACGCAAAGAAACGTCACCATTGAACAAAGACAGTGAAACAGAAAGTAGAAAAGAAAAGAAAGAAAGTGGTATAATTTCCGAAATGGATACCAGTGACAAAGAAGTTATACCTGACATTAAAATCCTGGAAAAAGAAAAGCTTCCACACTGGGTTATTTATATTGCTTGGACAATAGTTATTCTTGCAGTCCTCAGTTCAGCGTTTTTCTTGTTACTGTATAGTATGCAGTGGGGAAAAGAAGTTTCCAATGAATGGCTTACCAGCTTTGTCTTATCCTTTTTTGAATCTATTCTCATTGTGGATCCTATAAAGGTACATATTATCAAATATAATCACATTCATGATAAATAAGATACCAATGAGACAATTACAAACCACAGCAACAATTAATCGAATAAAAACAAGATTAAAAAAGATGAAAAAACAAACATCTGTCTATAAAACAATAGATTAAGTAACACGAACCTCGCCATAAACAAAGTTAGAACTCAAATGTTCAGAAAAGGTAATCAGTTCCTACTCCACTTATGGCAGCTGTCGTATTATTCATTGTAAGTACTTATTCGGTCACAAGTCCCATTCGGTGATGTCACAATAGAGAAAAGGAGGCTAATACAAGTAAAATGAGTTATACTTTATTCAATATGAGAAATTTTGAGGGTTTTATACATCTGTGAGTTTATTTTTCTATTTGTTACTACACCATAATACGTTTTATGTCTTGACGTTTTCAATATTGCAATGAATGCAAAATACACTTTTATACTTTTTATGCATGACTACGATAGTATCTGTCTGTTCGTTTGTCCGTCAGTATGTCCGTTTTGTTTAATGTCGGATTAACATTTTGCTTTAAGGTAGTAAACTATGAAAATTTGGTCAAATCAGTTTGAATCCTAGTACACGTGTTTATCACCGAATTTGTACTTACATAACTTACGCCGAGTGCGACATGTGGAGCAGTATTTGATTATCATTCTGGAGCACCTGAGACCACCCCCGGTTTTTGAAGAGTATCGTATTGTGAACTTGCCATAAACCTCTATGAACTAGCATCTAATCAGTACCTACATATTCAGTTTATAACTTCAAGTTAAAACGGTTTTCCAGGCATTGCGTTTTATATCCTTATTACAATGATTGATGGTTACTGCTTACACGAAAGCTTTTGAACTAAGGGTTCTTACTCGTAAAGTTGAAGTAATCTCTTGACAAATTTTATGTTTGCCATCATTGTTAGGTCAACTATCTTTGAATATAGATAACTACGAATATATTTAACTACAATCTCGTTCTCCTTCCCTCATTTGTAGCATCACCAAAATCGACTTACAAACAGAAATTTTTATCTAAGTTTTTTGTTGGAGTTCAATTTTCGCCGACACGGGGGTCATAGTGATATTTTTTGTCCGTCCGTCTATCGTTCTATCCATCAATCAGGAACACAGTAATAATCAAAGTATGTTTGTCTAAATGCATTCGTCCTACTTAATTATACTGTACGGTCATTTTTGTAGGAATACAATGACTATTTGTTTCACTAAAACACAATGTCACCTTGTAATCACAAAACCCACCAGACAGAAAACTTTCATACTGGGGAGGAGTGTATATTATTATGTGTAGATAACCACACTTTACCGTCATTTTGAGTTGACAATTCTGGCAAGAGAAATATGACTCGTACCATAATGACACTTCTGATCAAAACTTCCCCGAGACCGTCTGGCTTTCATGCTTTGTAAGAGTTTTGTCATCATATTTTCCTGATCATATACTACTATATTTTGAAGGGACAATTCATTTTTGAGTTATTGAACTTTGATCATCTTTAGCGGCGAGAATCAAAGTAATCTATTGGTAGTGTTTTGTAGACTGTTTGTCTGTATGTCCTTACTTTTGTAGACTGTTTGTCTGTATGTCCTTACTTTTGTAGACTGTTTGTCTTTATGTCCTTACTTTTGTAGACTGTTTGTCTGTATGTCCTTACTTTTGTAGACTGTTTATCTTTATGTCCTTACTTTTGTAGACTGTTTGTCTTTGTGTCCTTACTTTTGTAAACTGTTTGTCTGTATGTCCTTACTTTTGTAGACTGTTTGTCTTTATGTCCTTACTTTTGTAGACTGTTTGTCTTTGTGTCCTTACTTTTGTAGACTGTTTGTCTGTATGTCCTTACTTTTGTAGACTGTTTGTCTTTATGTCCTTTCTTTTGTAGACTGTTTGTCTTTGTGTCCTTACTTTTGTAGACTGTTTGTCTGTATGTCCTTACCTTTGTAGACTGTTTGTCTGTATGTCCTTACTTTTGTAGACTGTTTGTCTTTGTGTCCTTACTTTTGTAGACTGTTTGTCTGTATGTCCTTACTTTTGTAGACTGTTTGTCTTTGTGTCCTTACTTTTGTAGACTGTTTGTTTGTATGTCCTTACTTTTGTAGACTGTTTGTCTTTATGTCCTTACTTTTGTAGACTGTTTGTCTTTGTGTCCCTACTTTTGTAGACTGTTTGTCTGTATGTCCTTACTTTTGTAGACTGTTTGTCTGTATGTCCTTACTTTTGTAGACTGTTTGTCTTTATGTCCTTTCTTTTGTAGACTGTTTGTCTTTGTGTCCTTACTTTTGTAGACTGTTTGTCTGTATGTCCTTACTTTTGTAGACTGTTTGTCTGTATGTCCTTACTTTTGTAGACTGTTTGTTTGTATGTCCTTACTTTTGTAGACTGTTTGTCTTTGTGTCCTTACTTTTGTAGACTGTTTGATTGTATGTCCTTACTTTTGTAGACTGTTTGTCTTTATGTCCTTACTTTTGTAGACTGTTTGTCTTTATGTCCTTACTTTTGTAGACTGTTTGTCTTTATGTCCTTACTTTTGTAGACTGTTTGTCTTTGTGTCTTTACTTTTGTAGACTGTTTATCTTTATGTCCTTACTTTTGTAGACTGCTTATCTTTATGTCATTACTTTTGTAGACTGTTTGTCTTTGTGTCCTTACTTTTGTAGACTGTTTGTTTGTATGTCCTTACTTTTGTAGACTGTTTGTCTTTGTGTCCTTACTTTTGTAGACTGTTTGTCTTTATGTCCTTACTTTTGTAGACTGTTTGTCTTTATGTCCTTACTTTTGTAGACTGTTTGTTTGTATGTCCTTACTTTTGTAGACTGTTTGTCTTTGTGTCCTTACTTTTGTAGACTGTTTGTTTGTATGTCCTTACTTTTGTAGACTGTTTGTCTTTATGTCCTTACTTTTGTAGACTGTTTGTCTTTATGTCCTTACTTTTGTAGACTGTTTGTCTTTGTGTCTTTACTTTTGTAGACTGTTTGACTTTGTGTCCTTACTTTTGTAGACTGTTTGTTTGTATGTCCTTACTTTTGTAGACTGTTTGTTTGTATGTCCTTACTTTTGTAGACTGTTTGTCTTTGTGTCCTTACTTTTGTAGACTGTTTGTCTTTATGTCCTTACTTTTGTAGACTGTTTGTTTGTATGTCCTCACTTTTGTAGACTGTTTGTCTGTATGTCCTTACCTTTGTAGACTGTTTGTCTGTATGTCCTTACTTTTGTAGACTGTTTGTCTTTGTGTCCTTACTTTTGTAGACTGTTTGTCTGTATGTCCTTACTTTTGTAGACTGTTTGTCTTTGTGTCCTTACTTTTGTAGACTGTTTGTTTGTATGTCCTTACTTTTGTAGACTGTTTGTCTTTATGTCCTTACTTTTGTAGACTGTTTGTCTTTGTGTCCCTACTTTTGTAGACTGTTTGTCTGTATGTCCTTACTTTTGTAGACTGTTTGTCTGTATGTCCTTACTTTTGTAGACTGTTTGTCTTTATGTCCTTTCTTTTGTAGACTGTTTGTCTTTGTGTCCTTACTTTTGTAGACTGTTTGTCTGTATGTCCTTACTTTTGTAGACTGTTTGTCTGTATGTCCTTACTTTTGTAGACTGTTTGTTTGTATGTCCTTACTTTTGTAGACTGTTTGTCTTTGTGTCCTTACTTTTGTAGACTGTTTGTTTGTATGTCCTTACTTTTGTAGACTGTTTGTCTTTATGTCCTTACTTTTGTAGACTGTTTGTCTTTATGTCCTTACTTTTGTAGACTGTTTGTCTTTATGTCCTTACTTTTGTAGACTGTTTGTCTTTGTGTCTTTACTTTTGTAGACTGTTTATCTTTATGTCCTTACTTTTGTAGACTGCTTATCTTTATGTCATTACTTTTGTAGACTGTTTGTCTTTGTGTCCTTACTTTTGTAGACTGTTTGTTTGTATGTCCTTACTTTTGTAGACTGTTTGTCTTTGTGTCCTTACTTTTGTAGACTGTTTGTCTTTATGTCCTTATTTTTGTAGACTGTTTGTCTTTATGTCCTTACTTTTGTAGACTGTTTGTTTGTATGTCCTTACTTTTGTAGACTGTTTGTCTTTGTGTCCTTACTTTTGTAGACTGTTTGTTTGTATGTCCTTACTTTTGTAGACTGTTTGTCTTTATGTCCTTACTTTTGTAGACTGTTTGTCTTTATGTCCTTACTTTTGTAGACTGTTTGTCTTTGTGTCTTTACTTTTGTAGACTGTTTGACTTTGTGTCCTTACTTTTGTAGACTGTTTGTTTGTATGTCCTTACTTTTGTAGACTGTTTGTTTGTATGTCCTTACTTTTGTAGACTGTTTGTCTTTGTGTCCTTACTTTTGTAGACTGTTTGTCTTTATGTCCTTACTTTTGTAGACTGTTTGTTTGTATGTCCTCACTTTTGTAGACTGTTTGTCTTTGTGTCCTTACTTTTGTAGACTTTGTTTGTATGTCCTTACTTTTGTAGACTGTTTGTTTGTATGTCCTTACTTTTGTAGACTGTTTGTCTTTATGTCCTTACTTTTGTAGACTGTTTGTTTGTATGTCCTTACTTTTGTAGACTGTTTGTCTGTGTGTCCTTACTTTTGTAGACTGTTTGTCTTTATGTCCTTATTTTTGTAGACTGTTTGTCTTTATGTCCTTACTTTTGTAGACTGTTTGTTTGTATGTCCTTACTTTTGTAGACTGTTTGTCTTTGTGTCCTTACTTTTGTAGACTGTTTGTTTGTATGTCCTTACTTTTGTAGACTGTTTGTCTTTATGTCCTTACTTTTGTAGACTGTTTGTCTTTATGTCCTTACTTTTGTAGACTGTTTGTCTTTGTGTCTTTACTTTTGTAGACTGTTTGACTTTGTGTCCTTACTTTTGTAGACTGTTTGTTTGTATGTCCTTACTTTTGTAGACTGTTTGTTTGTATGTCCTTACTTTTGTAGACTGTTTGTCTTTGTGTCCTTACTTTTGTAGACTGTTTGTCTTTATGTCCTTACTTTTGTAGACTGTTTGTTTGTATGTCCTCACTTTTGTAGACTGTTTGTCTTTGTGTCCTTACTTTTGTAGACTTTGTTTGTATGTCCTTACTTTTGTAGACTGTTTGTTTGTATGTCCTTACTTTTGTAGACTGTTTGTCTTTATGTCCTTACTTTTGTAGACTGTTTGTTTGTATGTCCTTACTTTTGTAGACCGTTTGTCTTTGTGTCCTTACTTTTGTAGACTGTTTGTTTGTATGTCCTTACTTTTGTAGACTGTTTGTTTGTATGTCCTCACTTTTGTAGACTGTTTGTCTTTGTGTCCTTACTTTTGTAGACTTTGTTTGTATGTCCTTACTTTTGTAGACTGTTTGTTTGTATGTCCTTACTTTTGTAGACTGTTTGTTTGTATGTCCTTACTTTTGTAGACCGTTTGTCTTTGTGTCCTTACTTTTGTAGACTGTTTGTTTGTATGTCCTTACTTTTGTAGACTGTTTGTCTTTATGTCCTTAATTTTGTAGACTGTTTGTCTTTGTATCCCTTCTTTTGTAGACTGTTTGTCTCTATGTCCTTACTTTTGTAGACTGTTTGTCTGTATGTCCTTACTTTTGTAGACTGTTTGTCTTTATGTCCTTACTTTTGTAGACTGTTTGTTTGTATGTCCTCACTTTTGTAGACTGTTTGTCTTTGTGTCCTTACTTTTGTAGACTTTGTTTGTATGTCCTTACTTTTGTAGACTGTTTGTTTGTATGTCCTTACTTTTGTAGACTGTTTGTCTTTATGTCCTTACTTTTGTAGACTGTTTGTTTGTATGTCCTTACTTTTGTAGACCGTTTGTCTTTGTGTCCTTACTTTTGTAGACTGTTTGTTTGTATGTCCTTACTTTTGTAGACTGTTTGTTTGTATGTCCTCACTTTTGTAGACTGTTTGTCTTTGTGTCCTTACTTTTGTAGACTTTGTTTGTATGTCCTTACTTTTGTAGACTGTTTGTCTTTATGTCCTTACTTTTGTAGACTGTTTGTTTGTATGTCCTTACTTTTGTAGACCGTTTGTCTTTGTGTCCTTACTTTTGTAGACTGTTTGTTTGTATGTCCTTACTTTTGTAGACTGTTTGTCTTTATGTCCTTAATTTTGTAGACTGTTTGTCTTTGTATCCCTTCTTTTGTAGACTGTTTGTCTCTATGTCCTTACTTTTGTAGACTGTTTGTCTGTATGTCCTTTCTTTTGTAGACTGTTTGTCTTTATGTCCTTACTTTTGTAGACTGTTTGTCTTTATGTCCTTACTTTTGTAGACTGTTTGTCTTTATGTCCTTACTTTTGTAGACTGTTTGTCTTTATGTCCTTACTTTTGAAGACTGTTTGTCTTTGTGTCCTTACTTTTGAAGACTGTTTGTCTTTGTGTCCTTACTTTTGTAGACTGTTTATCTTTATGTCCTTACTTTTGTAGACTGTTTATCTTTATGTCCTTACTTTTGTAGACTGTTTGTCTTTATGTCCTTACTTGTGTAGACTGTTTATCTTTGTGTCCTTACTTTTGTAGACTGTTTGTCTTTATGTCCTTACTTTTAGAGATGGTTTTGTCTCTTTGGCTATAAATCCAAAAGAAAACCAGACAAAACCATGGACAAACAGAAATATTGCAACATGACAAACAACACACAATAAAACACCTCTCATAAAAATTTTAACAGTTGAGTTTTCAGGACCCTTAGCAAACAGGGGTAAATGAAGGCGACAGTAGTTATCCGATGTTCAAATCTCCTATTAAGAAAAGACAAATCAAGGTAAAAAACTGAGGGAAAAGCATAAACTTCGAAAGAAGCGAGACCGGTGCGTCAACAGGGTAAACGTGCATGCGTCGACCGTTATTCGACTCTACACTCAATAATAATAGTACTCATGCGCTTGAGAAGGAAGTTCGCTGATACACACGACAGGTGCTAACTGTCTTTTTGTGGCGGGTAATTTTCAAATTGATCTTTTGTTTGGTGTTCGATTATAAATCTTTATTACAATTTGTTTTAAAATATTAATAGATAATGTCGTGAATTGTACATTGATGTGTAAACAACAATCCACGATTGGTTGTTTTCGCAATGTTAAATTGCTCTTGTAATTGTAATTGATATATGATGCTTCTCTGCAAATCGTTAATCATTTTAATTAGGAAGCGAATCACACATGACACTGCTTTTTTGACGAACAATCAACAACTATGCACAATTCATATGTTGACGTTTGTCGTTTCACACAAGTAGATACATAGGTTGTTTCGGTAAACTGTATCACAAACAATTTATTATTCAAAAATGAATTGAGATTCAATATTCAATATTTCAGGTACTCCTGTTTGCAATGTTGGTGGTAATTATAACCAAGCGACCAGTAGAAGGAGATGAAGTAGAAGTCGATCTAGAGTCTGTCAGACATGCATCCAAATTTAAAAACGAAATGAATATTGATTTCAAAGAATTTCAAGGTATCGTGTACTTTTCGCTCTAGGTTTTCATAATAAATTTCTTTTAATAATAAAAAGAAAAGAAATAAAAGTTGAACCATCTTTAAGGATAAAAGCTATATCGTTTGCTTTTAACCCACAATTTTCTTTAGAAAATGCCTGTACCATGTCATGAATATGACAGTTGTTATTTATTCGTTCTGTTTGTTGATATAGTCGAGCTTTTGGTTTTGTCAGGTTTTATGAGATCCCTCCTTTTTTAGCTCACCGGGGCCCAAAGGGCCCCATGTGAGCTTATTCCATCACTTGGCAATTTTACACAATTTGTTCATCAAGTTTGCTAACATTTAAAAATCTTCTCCTCTGAAACTACTGGGCCAAATACCTTAAAAGTTTAACTAAATGTTCCGTAAGGTATTTAGTTTATAAATTGTATCCAAAGTTTTGATCCATTGACAAACATGGCCGCCTTGGCTAAAAATAGAACATAGGGGTCAAATGCAGTTTTTGGCTTATATCTCAAAAACTAAAGCTTTTAGAGCAAATCTGACATGGGGAAAATTTGTTCAATTGGTCTAGATCTATCAGCCCTGAAATTTTCAGACGAATCAAACAACCTATTGTTGGGTTGCTGCCACTAAATTGGTAGTTTTAAGGAAATTTTGCAGTTTTTTGTTATTATCTTGAATATTATTATAGATACATTGTAGATATAAACTGTAAAAGCAATAATGTTCAGCAAAGTAAGATCTACAAAGAAGTTAATATGACCAAAATTGTCAATTGACCGCTTAAGGAGTTATTGCCCTTTAAAGACAATTTTACACAATTTGTTCATCAAGTTTACTAACATTTAAAAATCTTCTCGTCTGAAACTATTGTGCCTAATACTTCTTAACTTTAAATGAATGTTCCTTTAGGAATCTAGTTTATGAATTGTATCCGAATTTTTGATCCATCAACAAACATGGCCGCCATGGCTAAAAATAGAACATAGGGGTCAAATGCAGTTTTTGGCTTATATCTCAGAAACTTAAGCATTTAGAGCAAATCTGACATAGGATAAAATGTTTTAAAAGGTCAAGATCTATCAGCCCTGAAATTTTCAGACTAACCGAACAACCCATTGTTGGGTTGCTGCCACTAAATTTGTTATTTTAAGGAAATTTTGCAGTTTTTGGTTATTATCTTGAATATTATTGGAGATAAAGATAAACTGTAAACAGCAAAAATGTTCAGCAAAGTAAGATCTACAAAAAAGTTTTATATGACCAAAATTGTCAATTGACCCCTTAAGGAGTTATTGCCCTTTAAGGACAATTTTACACACGTTGTTTATGTTTTTTAACTTTAAAAATCTTCTCAAATGAATCTAGTATAAATTAAAAATCTTCTCAAATGAATGTAGTATAAATTTTGTATTTTATTTCCTTGTACGTCAAGAAACAAAGACACTATGGCTCAAAAGGAACATATAAATGGGTAAAATGCATTTATTTGCTTTTGAAGAAAATATGACGGATACAATGAACATTTAAATGGCATTTTTAAGCCACTCATTAATATATATTGAAAAGCAAAAATAATCATTGATGAAAGATGAGCGATTCAGGCTCTTGAGAGCCTCTTGTTAGCTCACCTGGCCCGCAGGTCCAAGTGAGCTTTTCACATCACTTGGCGTCCGTCGTCCGTCTTCGTCCGTTAACTTTTACAAATATCTTCTCCTCTGAAACTACTGTACTAAATTTAACCAAACTTTGCCACAATCATCATTGGGGTTTCTAGTCATGGATTTTTCTAGCATTCCACAGGGTCCGGTATGCGGACCCATTCCCAACGGCAAAAACCCTACATATTTCCCAATTTTGGGAGCAAAATTCCCAAATGATCACAAAATTCATTTTCATCTTTATTAATCATGACAGAAATGTTTATTTTATTCAACCGCTTTATGCCAAAAATCGCCAATAAGTACTGTGTAAATCCAAGTTGAAACATAATTTGACAAAACAACATTTACAAACAATGGCTGCCATAAATAAACAGGAAGTGTGGGAAAATACTCAAACCAGATCAATTCACCAACAAAAAAAAAATTGGAATGAACTAAACACACTATAAAACTAACATCTGGTATGTTGGTTGTATTTCCCAATATCATTGAAAACCGCGTTAAAAAATTCCCAAAACTGGCCAGGGTCCTTTTTCCCAAATTACCCAGATAAACCCCTGCTAGTTTTGAAAATGATGTCCCTACCTACCTAACAAGATGGCCGACATTTCTAAAAATAGAACATAGGGGTAAAATGCAAGTTTTGTTTATTATTTTGAAAACCGTTATAAAAAGAGAAAATCTGACAGGGGCAAAATTGTTCGGAATGTTGAGATCTACCAATTGGCAATTTACGTCAAAACTGTAAGGGGACTTCTTATAGGAGTTATTGCCCTAAAATGACAAATTGTACCGTTTTTTAAAGAACCACTGAATGGAATGGAACCAAACATGATATGAGTGTTCCTAATGAGGTGCTGACCAAGTGTTGTTACTTTGAAGCCGATCTATCATCCAAGAGGGCCGTCAGCGGGGGACTTAGCTTAACATAGGACCCTATGGAAATACATACTAATGTCTTCTTTTAGAGAACCACTAAATGGAATGAAACTTAACATGGCATGAATGTTTCTTATGAGGTGCTGACCAAGTTTTGTTACTTTGAAGCCGATCCATCATCCAAGATGGCCGCCGGCGGGGGACTTAGTTTAACATAGGATCCTATTCGAAAGATATACACATGTCTTCTTTTAGAGAACCACTGAATGGAATAGAACTAAACATGGCATGTATGTTCCTTATGAGGTGTTGACCAAGTGTTGTTACTTTGAAGCCGATCCATCATCCAAGATGGCCGCCAGTAGGGGAATTAGTTTAACATAGGACCCTAAGGGAAATACATACAAATGTCTTCTTTTAGAGAAACACTGAATGGAATGAGACTAAACATGGCATGAATGTTTCTTATGAGGTGTTGACCAAGTTTTGTTACTTTGAAGCCGATCTATCATCCAAGATGGCCACCAGCGGTGAACTTAGTTTAACATAGGACCCTATGGGAAATACATACAAATGTCTTCTTTTAGAGAACCACTAAATGGAATGAAACCAAACATGGCATGAATGTTCCTTATGAGGTGCTGACCAAGTGTTGTTACTTTGAAGCCGATCCATCATCGAAGATGGCCGCCAGCGGGGGACTTAGTTTAAAATAGGACCCTAAGGGAAATACATACAAATGTCTTCTTTTAGAGAACCACTGATTGGAATGCAACCAAACATGGCATGAATGTTCCTTATGAGGTGTTGAACCAAGTGTTGTTACTTTGAAGCCGATCCATCATCCAAGATGGCCGCCAGCGGGGAACTTAATTTAACATAGGACTCTATGGGAAATACATACAAATGTCTTCTTTTAGAGAACCAATGATTGAAATGGAACCAAACATGGCATGAATTGTCGTTATGAGGTGCTGACCAAGTGTTGTTACTTTGAGGAAGTACACACCTAATTCATGGCCCCATTGCTTTCTATGTTAAATTCCCCAATTTCAAGCAGGCACAGCTCTTTTGTTTCAAGTTCAAATAAAGTGACAATCATTGCATGTCAAAGCAACACTTTATGGTGCCTTGTACTGAAAAAAACAACATACCTTTAATGGCATATAAAAAAGAACTGGTTCCCGGAACTTCAGATATACCAAAACAGGTACTTCATATGTGACAAACAGGCAAAATGTACCCTCTTTTTTAAATTTCATGCAATATTTTTATTTTTCAAAATTATAAGTCAAAAAGTGTTCAACAATGATCACCAGTTTTTCAGCTTTCATTTGATACCAAAATTACCTATATATTTACATATTTTGAAAGTTATACCCATGCGTAGGAACTTTTTTGAGTTAAATATGTACTACTTTCTGGTATGTGCTTTCTTGCAGGGCCCGAATTAGTGGTGTTACACACCTATAACAGAACCAAACTTGCTGTATTGACTTCAGCATTACTTTATTTCATTCTATGATCTATTTCAAGCAATAAAAAACATATAAAGCTTTAGTCCAAACACTATTTTATTGATTTTAAGCTCAAATTGGACTACTAGTAACATATGGGTTATGCAAAGAAAACTGCATATGGATATTACCAATGGCCAATATGATTTTTTTATTCTCAATATCATGGTTCTAATTGTTAATTTCTACTAGGAAAGCAATGTGCTTACCAATAGTCATATTTTTATCAGAGGTTGTTCATTTAATAAAAATATATTAGTCCAGACCTAAGACATAATTAAGAATATTGTCCCCCCTTTTTTCTTCAAATTGGAAAAGGGACATTTTTGGTATAAACCATCCTTCTGTGGTACAACATAGATTATTAAGAGCAATTTATTCATCCCTCAGCTGGATAACTTGCTAAACTGGTTCAAAATTGCATGTACAGTGAGATTTTTGTTCTTATATGAGTATATACCAATTGCCTAGATTGTAAAAGGCTATCATAAGAAAACCAATAAAACTTGAAAAATCATAGGATTATTTGACCAAGAGCTATTTTTTTTTACCATAAACAAGTCATAATATACATGTTTTATTGATTTCAATCCCAAATAATGCAAAAATAAGAATTTGGAGTCAAATCTTAACTGCATGCATGTTGTATGACCATAAAAGGCTAAAGTACCTTATTGTGTCAATTTAAGAGCTGAAATTTCCCATAAACAGAATTGTTCATCCCAAAAAGTTGATTGAACATGATTACTGACATCAAATATGACCAATTTTCATTGGAATAGGTACAACTTATAAAAAATAAATTTCTGATGATTCTCTGTAATAGGAAGTACACCACTCATTCATGGCCCCATTGCTTTCTATGTTAAGTTCCCCAATTTCAAGCAGGCACAGCTCTTTTGTTTCAAGTTCAAATAAAGTGACAATCATTGCATGTCAAAGCAACACTTTATGGTGCCTTGTACTGAAAAAATAAACATACCTTTAATGGCATATAAGAAAAAACTGGTTCCCGGAACTTCAGATATACCAAAACAGGTGCTTCAGATGTGACAAACAGGCAAAATGTACCCTCTTTATTAAAATTTCATGCAATATTTTTATTTTTCAAAATTTAAAGTCAAAAAGTGTTCTACAATGATCACCAGTGATTCAGCTTTCATTTGATACCAAAATTATCTATATATTCTACATATTTTGAAAGTTACACCCATGCGTAGGAACTATTTTGTGTTTAATATGTACTACTTTCTAGTATCTGCTTTCTGGCCGGGCCCGAATTAGTGGTGTAATACCTTGAAGACGATCCATTATCCAAGATGGCGGCCAGCGAAGAACTTAGTGTCACATAGGACCCTAATACATACAAATGTCTTCTTTTAGACAACCACTGATTGAAATGGAACCAAACATGGCATGAATGTTCGTTATGAGATGCTGACAAAGTGTTGTTACTTTGACGCCGATCCATTATCCAAGATGGCCGTCAGCGGGGGACTTCGTTTAACATAGCACCCTATTGACAATACATTTAAATGTCTTCTTATAGAGAACCACTGAATGGAATGGAACCAACCATGGCATGAATGTTCCTTATGAGGTGCTGACCAAGTGTTGTTACTTTGAAGCTGCTCCATCATCCAAGATGGCCGCCAGCAGGGGACTTAGTTTAACATAGGACTCTAAGGGAAATACATACAAATGTCTTCTTTTAGAGAACCACTGAATGGAATGAAACCAAACATGACATAAATGTTCCTAATGAGGTGCTGATGAAGTGTTGCTACTTTTTTTGCCGATTTACTGTTCAAAATGGCGACTAGGATTTTTTTATTAAATCACGGTGCCAATATTAAACCAAATTTGGCCTCAATCATTATTTGGGTATCTGTTGTGATTTTTATCTGTTTGTACATGATTTCCAAACCCAAAGTAGAGTCAGGTGAGCGACACAGGCTCTTGAGAGCCTCTAGTTTGAGTTTTTGCCTTATATCTTAAAAATCATAATAGATAGATAGAAACTTAAATTAGCGAAAATGATCATGAAGACAAGATCTACAATTAAGATTATATGGAGGATATCGTCCGACGACTCCTGATTGGAGTTATTGCCCTTTTTTGACGATTTTACCAATTATTTTGCGTTTTGCCTCTATGATAAAAATTATAATATACAAATAGAAGCTTTCAAAACAAAAATGATCAGCAAGGCAAGATCTACAAACAAGTCAAATTTTGCCGATATAGTTAGTAGACTGTTACTCTTTATAGGAGTGACTGACCTTAAATGAGGATTTTTTAATCCTCTTTTGTGTTTTGAGCAAAACTAAAGTAGATAGAGAGAAACAAAATAGAAAAAAACATTCAGCAATACAAGATCAACAAAAAAGAGATTTTTGTTATGAATTCTATTCTCGTCTACAATGTTGGAGAGTGTCCTTTGTTGAATATGCACATAGACCTAGGTGAGCGACACAGGCTCTTTAGAGCCTCTAGTTATTTACCTTGTCGTTCGGTATGTTTGTTAATACTTGTTTGCGGTTTGTTCTGCAACCCCAAAATGGATAGAAATATGTACAGTAATTATGGCCAGAGAAAAGATAAATTAGTGAATTTGAAATCTGTCAAAATCTCACAGATAATAATAGAAAAAAGTCCTGAAAAAAAGCTTACTTCAAAATAATGAAATAGACTAAATATCAAAATAAGGCCGTTAGTTTTCTCGTTTGAATTGTTTTACATTTGTCATTTCGGGGCCTTAAGCTTTCATACACATTCTGTATGTGCCTGTTCCAAGTCAGTAGCCTGTGGTTCATTAGTTGTCGTTTGTTGCTGTATATCATTTTTTTTTTTCGTTCATTATTTTGTACATAAATCAGGCCGTTAGTTTTCATGTTTGAATTGTTTTACATTTGTCATTTCGGGGTCTTTTGTAGCTGACTATGCGGTATGGCTTTTGCTCATTGTTGAAGACCGCACGGTGGCCTATAGCTGTTAACTTCTATGTCATGTCGTCTCTGGTGGAGTCTTGTATCATTGGCAATTATACCACATCTTCTTATTTTTAAAATTAAGGCTATTTTATATGATTGCCAATTAGGAACATATCATAAAAATGACCACATATGGCCTTCACCAATAAGCAAAAAGAAATAGTAAATAAGAGGCAACAGTGGTTTTTAGCGATGTTCAAATCTCATAAATCAAGTAGATACGAAGATACGAATCAAGGTAAAATCTAAAAACTGCACGAACTCCAAAAGGAGAGAGTCCGGTTGCATTTTCATGATAAAAACTCATTAACGATAAACGTCGACTGTTATTACCAATGCATGGTCACTCACCATGCGCGTTTACACTCAGTCAAATTGTCACAATCGTGAATAAGACAATCTGCAAATTTAAAAATTATACGACAATTCTTGTATATAAATATCTAAGACTGCCAAAGCATTTCTCTAGTGAGATAAAACACAGATACATCGTATGGGTCAAGCAACTCGTGATGATGACCGTAAAACTTTAGAAGTGTCGATTTCAGTCGAAGTTAAGGCAGAAAGCAACTTTTAGTCCCAAATTAAAGGCAACAGTACTTTTCTCATGTTCGAATCTCATTATCCCATTAAGAAGATACAAATCAAAGTTTGACAAAAACTGAGGGAATGATTTCAGGAGCCCATAATTCAGTTGTTGTCATTGGTTGCTGTCTGCCATATTTGTTAATCATTTATTTGTTTTTAGCATAAGTCAGGCTTTTGGTTCTCACTTTTGAATTGTTTTACATATTGTGATGTCTGGGGTATGGTAAATCTTTTGCTCATTGTTGAAGGTCTTACTGTGGCCTATAGTTGTTAACATTGTCTTCACTTCGTCTCTGTTGGACATTTGTCTTATTGGCAATCACAATAAATCTTCTTCTTTTTTATGGACTACATGTATATTATTTAGGTTTGGGACAGAAATATTAGGAATGTGGAGGGCTGAACATGTTTGTGAGCGCTCAACCCTCCTTTCACTTGACACAGTGCTGTAATAGAACAGTATTATATCAAACAGTAACAATCAGTTAAGAAATGGTGATTCATAAATTGGTACTAGGTACATAAGAAAATACGAGCAGATAAAGACACAGTGTAAACGTTTAAGAGTATTCGCAGTAACTGAAAGCTAGTTACTAGCAATTAAAAACCGAACTCAAACTGATAATAGCTCATTTCCACCAGATATAACAATCACTACTCTGCCAAAGGCAGTACTAGTTTAGTGCAAAAACAAGCACTCTACGATATTGGTTACTGATAAATTTCAAATGTTCCAAATCTATACCATAGGAAAACAACCACAGATCCAAACGCACTCCATCAACAGATTCAATTTGCGTAATTCATGATAATGTGTGAAAATTTTCAGAGCTGCAGATGGCAGTAATTTCCGCTGGAAAAACAGTGGCTACTGATGCTCTTAAAAAGAAACGACTGCAACTTCAAAAAGAAAAGAAGGCAAAACGGGCTTTCATAAATCTGGTACTACAAATTGTTTTTGCTGCTTTGATGTACACTATCAGCTATTTGAGCAGGGATCAAAGGGCCTATCTTCTTAAAGCAAATATTGAAAACCAGCTGTATCAATCAAGCAAATATCAGTCTGGTTTTGCAAAGGTAAGTGTAGTTATGGGTAATTGTCTGAGACAATTTTCAAAATAAGCTAATAATCACAAGATTATTTATTGAGAAAACTGCTGTTTTAAGGAATTGAGCATTTTAATGATAAATGGCAAAAGGGAACTCAATCTAAATCAATTGATACTTAAGAAATTAAATAAAAGTAAATTCATATTCCAATTCTTCTCAAATGCAAAAAGAAAGAGGGAAAAGATGCCTGTATTGCATTTCGTGCTATTCTTCATGAATAAAATAAAAAGGACACACACATTGTTTTATCGAGGTTTTTGATTTAGGTCTATGTGTATTCCTTTTGTTTTGCATCTGCTTTATAGTTTTAATGGGAGTTCGTATTGCTGAAAGCTTTATTTTTAATTCTGTTCGCATTGTATTGCCTAACTTGTCTTTTTGCTTTGTTTATCTCGTTCATAAATATACATTAAAGTGCGATGAACTATAGGCTCCTGACACGGGACTAGCAAATATAGCAAATATAGAATGCGGCGGGATTATTCAGAAAACTTCATCAAAACCTGAATAGGCCTTTGACGACAATAAGGGACACCAAATTGTACTTCAGTGTGCAAATGATATGCAGAAGGAAACTGATTTTGATGAAAAAACGGAGTTGCACAATCGCACTATATGGTTAAGATTGTGAGAAAGTTTGAAAAAATTGTGATAAGAGGTTTAGAAGCATTGAATACTAAATGGTCACCCTTCAAATGTGTACTATTGTGTGCAGCAGATATGAATAGGTCCGTGTCATCCAGCAGTTTATCCAAACAAATCATTAAGATAAAGAAATGAAATTTGAGGCACAAAAGTACATAAGTTGATTAAGATTCTGTGAATGTTTCAAATAATTCTGAGCAGTTGTGGATACATTAGTGGGAAATATAGGCACGAACGGAGAGAAATCCGTAAAAATGATTTAGATTAATGATAATAAAAATAGGAGATAAACAACAGCATTATTTGGTCAAAATTGTGAGAAAGTTTCAATAAATTGTGAAAAGGGTCTTAGGGAGAGTTGCGGATACAAAATGGGTACTCCTAAAAAGCAATGTCAAAGTCCATGATTTGGTAAGGGAAACACCATGAATGCTTTATATTAAAAAACCAAATAGTATCATTATATGGCAAAATTGTAAGAAGGCTTCAATAATATGTAATAGGAGTTAAGGAGGAGTTTGCAACTACAAAATGGATACCCCTCAAATGTGTACTATAGCGTGCAGATATCATAGTGTCATCCATAAGTTGACCGCAAAAAACTCGACAGGGTAACATTGACAGACATAGTAAATAAAAAAAATATATATGTTATAAACTACATGTAATTACAATTTTACAAAATATTAAAAACCGATAAAATAAAGATAGAAAAATGAGAAACAGACAAGCAAGAAATCTAGTAATATTGAATAGTATAGTAGAACTGACGATTAAAATTTAAGGTTTAGCAAGGTGTCCGTTCTGAATATTGCTTCATAATAAAATTAAGACTTATTTCACATTCAAGAATATACATTATCTAGAGGGCATTTACTGGTATGACATCAAAGAAATCAAGAACTATTGCTGCATTTCGTTTCTTTATTTACTATTTTAGGTCAGTTCGAAGGAGTCTTTTATCACATGGATAAATGACACATTATTACCGGTGTATTTTCCAACGTCATCATACAACGGAGGAAGCATCAGTGTTCTTGACAAATTCTTCATTGGAGATTTGACAAATTTACGAGTAGGGTTAATACGAATGAGGCAACTTCGGGTAAAGAAAGGTAAAATAAATATTTCCTTTTCAACGTGGTACTGATTTCTTTAAATGCAAATTCCACAAAATGGAAGTCTCGGATCGTTGTTTTTCTTACGTTTAGTGACTATTTGTGACAACAACCATGTAAAACTAGAGAGAAAGAAGAAAAAAACAGTTCACGGCGTAGATAAGTGTTTGTACCTGATATCGAGATCCCAAGATCTAAATCGGAGACCACAAAAGATCAGTCAACAAATTAAAGTTATTTAAATAAAACAGAAAACACTAAGATATTAATTATGACGACCAATGACGAGGTGGTGGTATATGATATGTCCACGATGGTATCACAAGCCAAGAAGTCAGGGATCTTCTGCAGAAATGAAATATTATTGATGAGGCATTTACTGTTAATAAAACACTTGGTGTTTTTACGCCCAGGAATGTATTTCCAAAGCCAGATTTGACACCACTTTTGGTTTCAATATCATAATTTATTTGACCATTGGAAGCACTGTTGTAATTCAAGCGCCAATAATGAGTCTTTAAATATACAGACTAAATACGAGAATGTTGTATTTCTGGTATCTTTGAAAAGTTTTTTTATTGATTCCGGTTATGCCCAATAATCCATAGCGGGTTTAAAATAGCTTTCTAAGTACTCATTCATCCGAGCTTTATCAGTCAGTTGGACATAAAAAAAAGTACAGAGAGAAACGTGAAATATATATTGACTCCAGTAAAAAGCACTTAATGTAAACCTTTAACAAGTTTCCATTTTACTTAAATATAACATATATGTTCAATTGACTTCTTTTTTTCATTTTTTCTTTGAAACAGAAAGTTGCTTTGGGCCTTCGGTTTTGCACGGACACTTCTGTGCAAGAAAATATGATTCAGACAGTGAAAATAAAAATACATTTTGTGATGACTGTTCAAAAGTATGGAGTTCTGAGGCTTGGCATTACGTATCAGCAAAAGAAATATGGGGTACAGACTTGTTCGGAACATATAATTCCTATGGCGGTGGAGGTTTTATCAACAAACTTGAAAACGACAAACTGATAACAGAAAAAATAATCGGAGAATCGGTGATCAACCGATGGATTGATAGACTTACTAGAGCTGTTCTTGTTGAATTCACTTTGTATAATGCAAATATTAACATGCTTGCATATTCTATATTTATGGCTGAATTTCCAGAAACTGGAGGAGCATTTACCTGGTTTGATACCCAATGCTTTCGACCAACAGTTTTAACAGACTCAACAGGCTTATTTTCAATTATCTGTTATATTATCTTAGTGTTGATAATTATAGTAATCACCATCAAACTTATTAAAACAATTAAGAAAGAGAATTTGAAAGCAATCAAAAACTTGTGGAACATAGTTGATATTATCCTTTGTGTATTCACTTACGTTGCTATAGTTGTGTGGATTTTAAAATTTATTAATACAAAACGTGCTCTCAGTATATACTATAACGACAAAAGCAAATTTGTAAACTTTCAACATATAATTATCTGGGAATATATGTTCAACTGTATTCTTGGTATTCTTTGTTTTGCATGCACCATACGTCTACTGAGAGCTCTTGGATATAACCAACGTCTAACAGAAATTGCTACAGTTTTAAGGATTGGAGGAAATGAAATATTTAAATTTTTCGTCCTTTTCTTTTTTGCCTTTTCTGGATTTACAGTACTTGGATATCTTTTATTTGGACCAAATGTTTTCGAATGGCGCAATTTATTTGTCTCTTTTGGAAGTCTTACAAACACTTTGATTGGTAGGAACAGTTTAGATAAGCTGATAAGAGCATCTCCGAACTTCGCAGAGTGTTATTTCTTTATATATGTTTTCTTTATGCTCTTCACGATGATGACAATTTTCCTGGCGATTCTCAACCAAGCGATTGAAAAAGCAAGGGCTCATCCAGATTATAATGCACAAACAATAGGAATCTCTAATATAATAAAAGGCACATTAAATGATGTACTACAGATGTTCGGTATACATATTGGAAGAAAGAAAAGGAAAGTCAAAGGTGAGTAATATATGCATTTGTCATTCGCTTTAATTAGTGTCTGTAAATTAAAAACAAATGTATATATTCCCGTTTTTTGAGAAGTAAAGGCAGGATGTAAACTTACGATTGTTTGAATTTATTCAAGCTATACATGTAGGGTTTATATCACGGAGATGTATAAATACACAAATGTAGCATTAACCATTCTATAGAAAAACAAAGAATATGGGATATCCATCCATGACACAAAATTAGTATATGCACAGCAAAAAACACATAAAAAGCAAAGAATACTTTGCAGCTTATTTTTGTTGGGTATTATTTTCAAGAGGTATTCATTTTGAATCGAGTTTGGAATATCTTAATACACTTTAACACATTTATATTTTTTCTCACACCACTTCTGAGTCATTGGTCATTTATCTATATTTCATTTAAAGAAACCTACATGCAATCCAAAAGGAAGCCAGCAGTGAACACAACAAATGTTATGCATCTCGTAAGAGAAACATTCACGGAAATGATACAAGACCATCACGTAAGTTTATTCATTTACTTTTTGTTTGTCTATTAAACATTGAATCATCTTTTATGAAAATACGCTTGAAAAGACCTGAAGACCGAAATGTTGTTAACTTTTTTTTCTTTGTTCACAATTAAAATTGAATTCATATAATTATATTACTCTTCAAATACAGACTAAATTTTTGAAATGAAAAAAAAATATTATTATAAATCATAATTTCATGGAAAATAGAACCATACCAGTGAGTAATCCTGTTGGCGCTTTCTTTGTATCAGTAGCAACAAGTAAAGTAAACGAATCTAAAAAAAATACCAATATTAAAGCAACACATATAATATCAAATGTATAAAGACATATGATACTAAATCCATAATGATGTTTTCAATTCTACCAAGAAGCGATTTATGTATTTTTGCATATTTCATTTTTTTTCTTTTAAAGGACGAAGCACAAATACCTACACCTAGGAAAGACAAATCCATTCGTCATGTCACTTTCAAAACAAATGAGCAGCCATGGGCAATGTTTAAGATAAAGAAGCCTACTGGACACAATGGGAAGGATACATTTGATAATAAATCCAAAGCATCCGCTGACTTTTCTGCAATGTCTGCCTTTAACGGTAATGATGACAAGCACACCGATCGCATAACACCTAGTAACATTAGCCTCGAAGTGGCGAATATGACAGATCCTCGGAAACAAGATGACTATTATGAGGTGTATAAGCCATATCTATAATCAATTCAAATTTACCATTTTATTTTAAACTTTTTAATGTTGTATCATTGACACACTATTTGGTTTTATAGAATTAGTGAACAATTTTAGACACGTGCTTTATTAAGCATACGAACAAATAATTTGATTTACGTCAATGTTAGTTCGGTAATCAAATGTAACTGTTCAAATTCACCATTTATCTATCATATTTTACCGGTATTGTGGATAATATGATTCAGCCTTAAGTGACCAAAATATCGTCCCTGTCTACTATCAACCGGTAGGTTTAAGCTTGTCTGAATATTTTTTTTTTAGTATTTTTTTCAAATATCGTTCTAAGTGGTTCAAAAATAAAGATGATGATAAGCACGTTTTCGAAAATTCAAAAATAAAGTAATTAACACAGTTGACAATCGCAAGATCTGTACTTTGTGTCTTTTGTGCTTTTGTTAGTTGTTTTTGAGCTTTGTACCGATCTGAATGTACCATTCTGTAAGTACCCGTCCCAAGTCAGGACCTGTATTATTCATTGGTTGTCATTTGATGATGTTTATCATACCGGTATTTGTTTTTCTTTTATTATTTTTTTTTTACATATATCATGCCGTTTGTTTTCTCGTTTGAATTGTCATTTCGGGGCCTTTTATAGGCCATGATGTAACATATAGTTGCTAACCTGTACGTTATTTGGTCTATCGCAGAGAGTTGTCTCATTGCCAATCATACCACATCTTCTTATTTTTATATTGGTTAACTAAATAAACGAGATTTTTTATAAATCAGATCTTAAAATCATCTGCTTTTCTTGGTCATAAGGAATATGAAAAATCATAGTTCCTGGACATGTGCATGCACCTTTAAGGGATCCAATTTCCAAAGTTGATCTTTTTTTTACCCAGAACAAAAACATGACTAATCACAAACACATTTTATTTTCAGCATTTATTAAAAACATTTGTTTCACACTTTTATATTTTTATGTTGTTTTAAAATATAATATTAACTTGAATTTATACGTGTTTATTTTATTTGATACATGTATATACCAAACCAAGTCAGTTTATATCTTGTTTCTCGCCTAACTATTGTAAATGTCAGGAAAGCTTCGGCCATCATTTGGTCGTCGTCTTTGATAAATCAGGTTGACAAAGCTGTCTATATAAAGTAATGATGAGGATACATATTAATTGGATATATGAAAAAGAACAGAGTTGGGGCAATAGCACGAAGACATCATCAAATCGCCCAAATACAATGCACAAAAAGACATCTAGAGCTTACCGCATGGTTTTCAATGAACAGGAACTATCCACCAACAGGCAGTCAGCCCTGGATGGCCCCAAACACAATAAGAGCAATCAAATCTAAGGGCACAGCAAAATGTCAAAATATTTAACAAAACAAAAAGGTACAACAACACACATCAATAACAAACGCATAATTTACTCTAATATAAAAATGATCTAAAGGACTGGTTATTTTCTTTCACTGGGGGACCTGGGAGGATACATTTGAATTTCACATATTTTTTTTAAATCCCCAGCTTGAGGAAGAAACATAAATTATAGATACACCTTCAAAAGACATGAAAATTGCACCTTTCCTGGACGAACATGTTCAAACGTAGGATTTGAATCTTAACAATTGAGCCAAGCAATAAATTGACGTCTTTTGTGCCAAAAATTATATTTTTATTGTAGGGGAAAGAGGTGGGTGTGGGTCGCCTGAGTTCGCATCTCCAGGTCATGAAGGAAAATTATTCACGTAAAGACATGTTAAAAATGCCACGCTTGATTCCGAGATAATATCTTTAATCATTGAATTATTTATACTCAATCATCAGTTTAACGATAAATCAAGTAAGGTAACAGCTATTTTTATTATCTATTTTATATGGAAAGGGATATAATCAGAAAAGATGCTAAAACTAATACATCAAACCATCAGTCCCTGATAGTGTTATTCTTCGTGTCCAACAAACAAACAGAATACGGTCATGACTCACATGAAACAAACATTGAAATAAAGATTTAAGCCAAAAATTATGACACAAGAGATATAGATCTAAATCCGGTGTTAGATACTTCTGCAGATAATACTATACTGATATAGTGTATTGTATGTTGTTTTTTTTTTCAATTTCGGTTCATTTATATGTTTCAGAGTTTAGTGTGACGTCCATTTTCTATGAACTAGTACACATTTTTGTGTAGGGTCCAACTGAAGCCCGCCTCCAGGTGCGGGATTTCTCGCTGTGTTGAAGACCCATTTGTGGCCTTGGATTGTTTTCTGCTCTTTGGTCGGGTTGTTGTCTCTTTGACACATTCCCAGTTTCGATTCTCAATTTTATTCATCAAATTGGCTTTAATTTTTGCATGTTTGAAATACAGAAATGCTCAAATCTTGTAAACAAAAATCGATGCCCCCCCCCCTAACCCCATTCTGAAGTATTGACAAATTGGACATCCACCCTTTCAATTCCCCAAAACGTTCAAGGCCACCTTTATTTTCCTCTCACCCCTTTCAGGTTACAAATGACCAGTCTCTAATATTTACAATTACAAAATTTGATGACTACCATCCTTTTGATTTTTTCTTCGTTTTCCCCGAAAAGTATACCCAAATATCTGGCACATCCTTTTATTGCAGTGTTTAGGATGTTTATACCTCCTCCCCACACTTTTCCCCGGGGGATTTCAATAGTCTGTCTCCATTTAGATTGATGTGGCTTTACTGTTTCTGACTTTTGGTTTTTTATCTGCTCTAAAAAAAATTGACTTCTTTGGATTTCCAACCATTTGGTAAAAAGCAGTATGATACTGATGAGACACGAATCGTCGAAATGTGCAGGTGATCAATGGTATCTTTCATTCTATAGATCCATATGGTCACCTGTATATATTCACATCCTTGTCCTTTGGTATGTATGGATATGTGTCTTGTAAGCAATTTTACCACTTCTACTCATTTGTCTAACTATATTTGTTTCGGAAACGGAAATCAAATTTGCAAAATTGTACGAACGCTATTTATCAAAAGAAAGTTCACCTTAGTCAAGTTTTACGAGGTCGTTTATTTATAGATTGTAAAATACTCTAAGAATGATGAATAATATTCACCAAAGGTTGGCGGGAGAAATATGATTAACCATAAACGAAAGACAAAGTATCATTGGTTAACGTTGAACATTATTAAATGTTTATTGGTTTCTAAATTGTTTGTTTATAAAACTCCAATGATTTGATAAACTGTTCAGGTACGACCAATTACCCAAAATGGCCATTGAGGTCTATTGATGTATGTCGTCGCATCAGAAACTAAAAACGGCAAGTACCATGCAATTACTAAATGTTGTAAAAAATAGAATGAAGAGTTGGTGAGTATGGTATGTATTTTGACAACTCTAAAGCAATATCTAGGCAGAAAATAATAAGTGAAAATAGGTCATATCAAGTCTTTTCCGTAAAAACAAAAGGGGGGGGGTTAAATTTTGCCAAAAACTGCGTTGGACAAACGGCGTTAAAAAGTAGTTGTGGTTAGCATTTTAACTGATGGAGGATAGTTTGTATTGTACAGGCAATGTCTTTTTAGAAATTTCGTAAGGATTTCTTTTTAGAAACGATCCACTGAAACTTGTCAATGTTGTCTCTGAAACGATTGAACCATTCGTCAGCTATAGAATGTGCCCGTTTGAACATTGAACAATTATGTGCTTTCTGAAGTTGGATGGCTTGGGTCAGCGACAAATTGTAGTATCAGAATTAATCAATCATTTGATTTCGGGTAGTGGGGTTGCTTGGATGATTTTGATAATAAATATATATTGGCCTGGTTATTTCCCCCAAGACAAAACCATTCATTATGTAAAATAATTTGCAGGAACGAAAGTATTGTGTATAAAATATAAAAGTAACTGTCCCCCTTTTTAATAGAAATATAGTCTCTAAGACAGGATGAAAATTAATATCTCTCCAAAATGTAGATTTATATAAAAATATGGAGATGTGGTATAATTGCCAATGAGACCACTATTCACAAATTTTCAAATGAGGTGGATAAATATTTATGTACTAGTATGTTTCAGAAAGCTTAACATAGATAACCTTCACTTCAACAAAATGACTGAATCCCCACAATATGTATGTACATGACTGTTTTGTGCGAAATAATCATTATAATTGTATGCAAAATCAAAAATAAATTTTTGTGCAGTTAAGCCTCAAAAAGTTAAAAAGCTGACCAAGCAAACAGTGAAGATGAATATAAAAAATGTCAGTTTAAATTCCTCCTCAAATGTGGTATAGAATATCAAAACAACCAGTGTTAGATATTTGAGCTGACAAAGACGTCATGCAGTCCAAGAAATCATGTTAAGGGCTTGATTATGCCCCAATATCCAGTTTATAATTTCAAGATGAAAAGTGTTTCAAGTTGCATTGAAAGAGAACAACTGAATACATATAATATACCAGTAGGTAGTATAAAAGAGATCTTGGTAAAAAATTGACAAATCAAATTTATGTTCATCCAGTCTTTATTAAACAAAGTCAAATATAACAGACATAATGATTAGTGTTTTTTTTTTTTTTTTTTGTTAAGTAAATTTTTGCTTTATACATGTATGTTACCGGTCTTGAATACCAATTGAAATTAGACTGTATTCAATTAATCTGGTGAAAAATAAAATTTACACTAATTGCTAAATCAAATGACGTGGATGTAAGCAATTGGTCACCGTAAAGCCTTCAACAATGAGAAGAAAAACTACCATACAGTCCGCTATAAAAATCCCAGACTAGAAAAATTGGGAAACAATTCAAACGAGAAAAAGAATGTGACAGACATGAACCGAAGTAAACCACTGAGTTCGAGCTCATGGCTTGAGACAGGCACATAAAATATGGATTGAATAAAACATTTCTGTCAGCACTCATCCCTCGTCCTGACCTGGGACATGCAGTGGTGTACATATGTAACAGCACTACATAAGTAAAACTGTAAAAATCAGTTGCAAATGGCTTAACTCAATAGGAACGCAGAACTAAAAACCAACTATCGTAAAACCAATAGACACAAAGCAATTCATTTTCATATGCTTAGTTTTAACAAAAACAGTAACATGCAGTTAGTGAAAATAAAACATTTTAATTTTAATATGAATATATATATGAAAAAAGGAGTAGGTTTGATAAGACCCTAAAATGGCCTTTATCTCTAGCTGCAATTTAAGATTATGATTTATTGACCAATGTCACAATGAATTATAGCCAATACAATGAAAAGATAGGAAATATTTCTTTTTGTTGAACATTTACGTACGTGCGTTCTTTTCATGACATCACAAAGAGTACTCTTTTTAATTTTTCACGACAGTTCAAAGAAAAGAAGTAAATTTCTATTCATTTTTGAACAGCTACTAGTAACATAGAACGCATGCATCGACAAAAAAAGATATATTGAATGATCATGGTTCATTGACTTTGATACTTTGTCGTAGTTTAGAAGTTAAAGTCTGTGTTTTGGTTATTTAAAGGGAACCAATTATGATAAGTCAATGATATTTGATATGCAGTTTTATAAGTTTTGGCATTTCTCAATTCTACGAAGGTTATTTGCCCCTGTACCTTCAGTTATGTAATAGTTATCCCATGAGAACGCGATGTGTCGGTGTAAGATCATCCCGATGGCCGGAGGCCAGAGGGTGATCTTACACTGACTACCAAGTCCGAATGAGATAACTATTTTATATCCCAGCTCTTCTAGACTATATCATCATGAAAAAACATTTACGCTTCATAAAATCTAGTTCAGAATGCCATACAATAAGTATAATATACAGTATATATTACTATATAGTATATACCCTTTATGAGCCCCGGATACAATGTTTAAATATGTTAAATTAACAGTGAGTTTGTATCCAGTCGTCCTGGTTAGGGGTATGAATCGTGGCTTCATATGCTTGAGGTCTTGCGTTCGATTCCCCGCATAGACACTGGCAATTTAGTG